CTTCAAACTGGACATTTTTGACGCCGAGGTTCTCGATGAGAGACGTGAAGACGCCCTATACCAAAAAAAAAAGGGAATATGGCCCGTCAGTATAAAGTCTATATATTTGCGGGTGGGATTTGCTTCAGTGTCCATACTGCGTCAGACTCGACTGTTGAGGAAAGCTCAGGTTAGCTGAAATTCACTGACAAAGGTGGCAGACCCCGGAACTGCGTACTAGTATTCCACCCGCCGCTCATTGTCGCGCCGGCAATGCACTAGTTTTGTGACTATGGCCGAAACTCCCCGACGGACTTGTCGAATGTCAAAATGGATTGAAGGGATAATAGACGGGCAATGTATTTCTGGTGTGGGCTCAGAGCAGCACCCAAAACGCTCTTGCATGTCTGGGTGGATGGAACTGGCAGGCTGCGACGAGCTTCACGCGGCGGAATACTTTGTCCCAACTCGCAGCGATAAGATAAGAGCAAGCGTCACAAGGAACTTTCACACAAAGCAACCTATTGAATCGAATGAATGTGCGAAAGTCAAGGCCAAGTATTTCTTACAGTTTTGAACAACAAAAAGCGGTGTTTGTAAATTGAATTGAATCTCTCCAATATGCGTCACAGTTTCCTTTCTTTAGTACTCGCCCCCAAATCGATCAATTCCAACGCCCACGCCCCGTCCGAATCATGGTGGGTTGTCAGCAAAGCTACCCACACCAAGTCAATCTAAGCAACGGCTCAGCGCCAGCAGAGAGCAGTCTGATGCTTCAAAGTTTTGACAGTCATCGGCTCGGGGCGGTTTGGCGTCAGGTAGAGCTACCTAGCTACCTAGGCAGTAGCTAGCTTATCGTGGTGACTTGTTTTATGGACAGCACAAGCTCAAATAAAAAGGAAGGGACTTGAGCGGGCCGTCTGATGATGGCGCCAGAACCAACCCCTGATAATAATACTATTTTCAAAGTCGCTTGCTGTAGTGTGCAGGATGTACAATCCAACGATATTCCACCATTGTTCATTCATCCGTCTATAAAACCATGCACATGCCAACCCGGTTCCTACAAAGCAATCAGTTCTTCTTCAACATCATCAGCTCCAACATCACCACGAGGCTCCTCTTGTCTTTCATTTCCATGCGTGGTCCCTTCCTGCGTCTGGTGATCGACACCAGACTCATTGATTATTTGACTCGTATCTCCTGGGCTGGCATTGTTTTCTGCTTCTGTTGCCGCCGCCGCTTCCTCTTCTTCACGCCTCCGCGCTTCGTCGGCGCGTGCCTCTGCTTCCAAGTTTGCTATGTGTCTTTCCGCCACTCCTGGGGCAATGCTGGCGAGAAATAGTAGTCCAGCCCGCTCTATTCGACGTACTTGGACCCTAAACCAAGTTTGACGTCCTCGTTCGGCCATCAACCTCGCTGCCATCTGTGCTGGGTTCGTTTCTCCCGCCTGAACAAGAGGCTGCTGCTCCGGAGGACCTGCTTGGCCAGCCGGTAGTTGCTGTCTGCGAACATGTTGTTCGGGAGTAGGAAGAAGATTCTCCAAATGTCTACCAATAGGTCGCCAAGCATTCTCGGCAACGCCATTTAAAATTCCCGTGCTCAGGAGAAACACGAGAATGGCAAGACATATAACCGTAAACCACCTCGACCAGCTGGAGTTTGGAGAAGTGAAAAGCCAAACAAACAGGGCTAAGCGGAACACTAGCCATATATGGGGCCAGGCTTGCAACAAGAGTGGCGGTAGACCTGCGGCTGGAGGATTTGCTGGGTGCATGGCGCCCTGCCCGGCCGGCGGAGCGTGGACCTGGTCGTTGAACACGTCCGCATCGCCGCGGTGTTGCTGTTCTGGCCCCTGTTGCTGTTGTTGTTGTTGTTGTTGCGGTGGGTGTTGCTGGTAGTTACTCTGAGGTGTCTGATGTTGTATGGCAGGATAAACGGGGTTGGAGTAGCCAGCCGGAGCCCTGACCGGAGGCGTGCTGTTCTGGAATACCGTTCGACTAGGGGTGTAGTACATCTCTGCAGTATGGTTTCTCATCAAGAGTGCACGAGGCCCTTGTGGCGACGATATCATATAGAGATCCGCACCTTGGCATGACGGGCTGCCCTGGGGTCCCGTAGAAACTGGGAAGTGGCCAGCTCCCAAGCCGAGCCTTGTGCTCGAATCAGGTGTGGCACGGCCACTGCCAGAGGTTGAAGCACGAGGACCAAGTATAGGAGTGGTGACACCAGGCTGGTTCAACGGCCTGCCGTGTATGGAGGCTCCGGAGGCACTTCTCTGCATGGCATTGGTTATTGCAGCCGTAGCTTGGTTGGCGTCTGCCCCTCGCAGAATATTTTGAACATCAGCGAAGGAAAGCCCGTTTTGTTGGCCTGGTGTTCCAGACCGGATGACCGTTTCAAGGTGGTAGCTATGTCCACTTGGCCCGACCGTCTCACGATAGACGGTTTGAGTCGCTGCCGGACTAGCCCGGCCACTGTCTGGAGCAGCCGTGTTGGCCCCAGAATGGCTGGGGGCTCCGGCCGAGTCTCCAATGCCTCGCATCCCCATGTGAGCCCTTCCAAGTTGGTGCTGCTGGACTATAGCCCTGGTCGCAGCGGCGTCTCGTTGCACATGGCTGAGCCAATTGTTCATGTTTTGGTGGTGTTGTTGGACAACAGCGGCGGCATCAGCGTTGGGGTAAGGTTGTTGCTGCTGTTGTTGTTGGCCCAAGGCAGGGGAGGGTATCCGGGCATTGTGGCCTCCAGGAGTAGCAGGCTGGGAGTGTGTCCTCCTTGAAAGTGCAGGGGGAGGTGGCGGTCCGAAATAAATGTGAGCAGCATGTTGCGCCGTTGGAGCTGGAGTGTGAGCGGTGGACGCAGGACTAGGACCTCGGGCGGTTGTAGGCGCAGGGCTCGACGAATGGCTGTCGGTGTGTTCCCTCACGACGAGGTGAATGGTTTGCCGTTCGGGGATTCGAAGCTGAGATGAGGGGTAATTTGGTTAATTCGACACCAGCCAACTCAAGAGTCGAAATATACATGATGAATGGCACTGCACTCACAGCATCGGCGCCAAAGATGTCTAGCAAGTTGTCCGACTCGCGCAACAGAGCTCTCCCTCGGTGGATCAGGCGCTGGTTCTCATCGGCTGGTCGCAGAGGAAGCGCTTGGCGAATTCTATCTTTGAGCTGCTTGATTGTTGTCACAGCCGGCAGGTCGGGAAAGAGAAGCGGGCGATTAACGCCCACGGACGGGGACAGAATCTGGAGATTGACGACAAGCTCCTGGGGAGCTCCGGCGACGGCGGCTTCGGCGGCTTCGGCGGGCTGCGAGTCCAATGATCCAGACGCCATCTTTCAGCTGGCCCGGTCTTGCTGGCAATGGATGGAGAAGAGGGTTCGAAGGAGGAAACGATTATTCACAGCTGCCACGACCTGTTGAAATACGTTGGACGTTGGTCGTCGAGTGGCAGATCATGTCCAGCGTCAGAGGGGCGTGTAGTGAATGGTGTTTCCCTGTTCAAAAGGCCGATGTCGTCGCAAAAAAGAAGAGAGAGAGAAAAGGCCAGGCTGCACATGCACATGTAGTGGTGAAGTGACGAAATGCCAGTCACTCACTTGGGTACATGCTTGGTGTAGTTGATGTGTTCAGTGTTGAGTCTGGTGAGGTGCAAGCGTCAACTGGTCTCAGTGCTGCGCGTGCTCTGGAGCATTGAGTCAAGTTCCAAAGTTCCACGGTGGCTTTTTCCGTCTGGTATTGGCCGGCGGTATCAGGTCTGGAACCTGTTGAGGCTCCGGACTCTCGTCCCCAAGCCATGTACACCCCTGGTGCCCCGGGTGCCTCCTGCTTGCAGCGGCTCTTCTTCGGCTTGGAACGTCGTGGCAGCCCGGTGATGGGTGTGGATAGCGCGCACTTAAGTTAACTACTACCTACCTGGGTAAGGAGGTACCAGACCTTGGCGCGCCAAGGGGTTTTCTGGTGACTACATGTGTATCCTCTGGCTATCATCCATCACAAGACAGCTAATCAGATTTTTTTACTCAAAACATGAGACTTCTAATAGCTGGTGATGATTTAGGACCTGTCTCATAATAGTCATGCTGTCACCAGACTCAGGGGCCGCGCGCGTAGGTAGGTACCTAGGTAGTCACTTCATAAGTCCATGCAGTCTGCGCTTGGGCAGTCTCTACCAACATTCACCATGTATTGACCCATCACCAGATACACGCTGCGCCCTTCGACATAGATGCCATCGCATACCTGTGGTAAGATACCTGGGTAGGGAGCTGGTAACTAACTACTAGCTGGCCCCGGGTGGGAGGATATGCTTTGTACCGGGTTGAAGTTCCAACACCGGGGCCAAAGATAAACCATATCGCAAGGACTAGACTGTTTTCAGCGAACTTGGACTTGGCTCAATATTATATACTGACATGTCAAATCAGAGCTCTTGGGAACAATCGCCTCGGCAACAAAGACACAGGTCACGGGCACAGTTTTCGACTCCCACGGGTACACATTGAATGCGCTTTCATCCTTTGTGTTCTCATTGAAGTAACGTCAGGCGCTTGGAGTACAAGCCTTATTTCCGCAAGTCGCGAAACAACATATGTACCAACATTCAGAGGAATAGTGTGACCGAGAGGCCAGTCCAATATCTTTCAATCTGTTTCCAGCCAAGTGGCTAGCCTGTTGGTGTTCAGGGCACGAGCAAAGAGGACCGAACTAGACGTTTACGAATAGCTCTTGAAACAACATTCATTGTCACATAAGGCCATCTACATTCATTGAACTTATCCCTCCCATGCTGCCATGTCCAGTCTTCAGTTCATGGTCTCACGAGTCCGTCATGGAATATATAAAGAGGATGAGCCAGTATCTGGTTGTATGCAAAACAATGATAGTAAAGACACGACTATCAACATCTCTTTTCCAGTTTTCCTTTTGCCTCCCTCGCTTCGCCTACTTCGGTAGGACCTTTTCACCCTTTCATCCGAGTCTGCTGGTCCGACAAGTTGTAGACCATACACAAGACCATAATGACAGGCATTCAAGATCTCCAACCCGAGATTCTGAAGGAGATCTTCGACTTGGTCATCGCTGCAGAAGGGTGTTTTCCGGCCAATCCCGGGACTTCATCCTTTGAGCAACCGGATGATGGCCTAGCAATCCTTAACTTGGCATTGACTTGTCGCCGTTTCTCCAGCATAGTCGAACAGATCCGCTTCCGATATTTGTTCGCATTCAGCCTTGGCAGCCCTGGACGCCACAACCACAACCGCTACGTAGAACTCGACGACATATTCCGACGAAACCCACTCAGCTGCCTCCGGTGTCTCCACGAAGCGCTTCAGCGAAAACCTGAACTGGGTAACCAGTGCCGGGAGTTTGGAGTGTTCATAGAGAGAGACCAGTTTGCTGAGGGCGAAGAATTCTTTGGGTGTCTTGAATACATCCTTTCCGCCCTTCCAAATGTGGAAAAGCTTAGAATTCTCGCCTCTCCCTCGTCAGATCCGCAGACGTCCAACACATTGATTCCTAGAACGTTGGGCCTTGCCAAAGACATGTCAAGACTGGTCAAGGTTACTATTACGACAGTGGATCATATAAGGGAACTCGGTCAATTATACTCCGTTCAATGGCCACCGTCAGCGAGGAAATTGCACGTACGCCTTACGGACCCTTTGGAAAAGGGGGAGGACGGAGATCAGCAGGTGAGTAAACGCATGGTTCAGTTTCCAACAACGAGCATGTTTACTAACGGTATCAAGATGCTTCGGGGGGTCGGGCAGGAGTGCAACATTACATCACTTTCCATAACAGGTATCGAGGACTTGTTTGATTTACCCAGGGCACTCGAAGGATTTCCCAACGCCCTCGAGGAATTGACCTTGCTCTACAAGCGGCAACTCATGCCACACATCCCCTTCTCTATACGTTTCGACGGACACAAGCACAGTCTCCGGGCCCTCAGTCTAGTATTTTGCTCATTTGGATTTCCTGAGACACTCAACCTTTCTGACTGTACGGCTTTGGAACACCTTAGCTTGCACTATAGGGACTTGAATCCGCCCTTCCGATTGCAATTCGGTGGCGCTGTCACGCAATTCGCAGCGCACATTTTGGGTCCCAAACTGAAGAGGCTTACCTGGGTTTTTCATTACGAGAACAAGCCTGGGCTTCTCGGTAAGCTCTTCGAGTTCCCACATTCTGTTCGTGAGCTATTCCTTCGACACTTGGCAAAAGCTGCTGGTCAGAGAGCAGCGGCTTTGGAAGAAATACATGTTATCTGGATGCCACGAGATGAATTTCAAGCACTGGACCCAGATCCGTTAAATGCCGTCGTGGTTGATAAAGTCAATCTATCCGAGAAAGTCACGCTTACATACAGTGCGGCTGGCATGTCTCATGAGACCAGGCTTGAGGTTTTCCGCGCACTGCAGGATCGTGCCTGGACATATACGACTTGACGTTGCTCCAGGCACGAATCTAGATTGCCCTTATCCGCTGCGTGGTTGGATATATACCTAGTTACCTAGCACCCGCTCCATTTGATGCCTCTTTTAGAATTCTGTTTATTTGTTTATTTGTTTGTTTTGTTTTGTTTTGTTTTGTTCTTTTGTTCTTTTGTTTTTTGTGAATTTATTTGTTTTGTTTTGTTTATCTTGTTTATTTGTTGCACAGCCGAGATGAAGTTAGAATCCGGAATTTAGAATGGTTGTCGACTCGGCATATTTAGTCATCGAAATCAATGGATTTGTTTGTTCGTTTGTTTTAAAGAAGTGACGCATTTGATCTTGTTCAAGCACCCGAGTGCAGCATGTGTTGTCTGGTTTGTACTATGAACCGTCGGTGGCTGCTTTTTCTGGGCCACATTCAATTACCCGTTGGCAACTTGAGGCCCAGATCCAGAACTCGGGCGCTGTCTTGGGGAAAAGTCCGCAAAGATACAACAAGGCAAGGGTACAACAATCGGCACCGACCCACAGTGGGGATTTAAACATGTACCGCTTTTAGCTTGACATTCACACCTCTTTACAAAAATTCCCTTGGGGTTAGGGTTATATTGATACTATCATCATTAAAATCATTAAAATTATCATCATTATCACATTACCGTCACTACCATCCTCATAAAAAACACGCTTATACTCTCGTGAATACTTGTTCTTTTGGTCATGGGCCTAAGTGGGCTAGCCGTCTAAGTTAGTCGCTGACGGGTACCTCCACTTCCAAGTACCACTCCGCTCCTCCTCCGCTCCTCTCAACCTCGCAGGCACCAGGTTTGGTGAACACGTCAGGTGCATTTGTCCAAGACTAGCTCTCCCGAGTCCTCGCGAATTGCCGCTGGGACCCCAATCCAATTCAATGCCAACCACATAGCTTCGCACTCGGCATCTGACAATTCCCGTACCTCGCCCTCTGGGTTGACCACAATCATGGCAGCTCTGGGGGTTGGCTCCGGCCAGCTCCTGCGACGACATGCCCTGGCCAATATTCGCCGACGATGCTCCAGCTGCGCAGACCAGCATGTGACAAAGCCCCTGCTGAGCTTCCGATACCCTCTTCAAACACCAATTGCTGCTCGGAACTTCTCGTCGCGATATGCCAGACGCCCCAGGTTCTCTCAGCGCCTGGGCGAGGCCCTGCGGAACAGCAAGATAACTTGGTACCACATCCCTGTTGGCGTGGGCATCGGTTTTCTCGGCCTGGTGCAATTCTACAAAGTCACTGCGAGAGAGCAGGAGAAGCGACGACAGGAAGACGGTGGTGTCTCTGGCGGCCAGCCAAAACGGCGTGAGAGGATTCGACCCGATGGGCCATGGTATGCAAAATCGTCACCTTGCATCCCTGCTCTCCTCCAGAGCCAGGCTAACAAAAAATTTGCACTCCAGGCAAGTTCAAGTAATGTCAACTTTACCCCTGAAGGCCATCTCACGGCTTTGGGGGAAATTCAACGAACTGACAATCCCGTACTACCTGCGCGTGCCTGGATTCAAGCTTTACTCTTACATATTTGGCGTCAAGTGAGTTCCTTGGGTGGCAACACTTCGCCATTGGAACATTGCCCGTGGCTAATATAAACCCAAAAGCCTTGACGAAGTATCCGAACCCGACCTACACGCCTACCCAAACCTGGCTGCATTCTTCTACCGCACACTCAAGCCAGGCGCGAGACCTCTCGACCCCGACAGCCACGCCTTGCTCTCCCCGTCCGACGGTAAAATCCTGCAGTATGGAAGAATTGAGGGCGGAGATATTGAGCAGGTCAAGGGAATGACGTATAGCGTCGATGCGTTGCTGGGCAAAAACACACCCACGGCCAGCATCGCCTCTGGCCAAAGCTCCGCATCTGCCCGAAGGGGTGGCAGCGTAGCCCATGGAGATGAGGAAATTGTCAAGCAGGAGGAAGAATTTGCCAAGATGAATGGCATTTCCTACACCCTCCCTGATCTGCTGTCCGGCCAGGCCGATGCTCAAAAACCTCGCCCGGCAACAGATGAGTCGACCGAAGTCTCTGCCCGGGCTGTATCCGAGGTTCGGGCCGAGCTAGCCCTTGGGGAAAAGCCCTGGTACGATATCGTCTCTGCGGACAAGAGCACATCACTCTACTACGCCGTAATTTATCTGGCTCCCGGCGACTACCACAGATTCCACTCGCCGACAAACTGGGTCGTCGAGCGACGACGTCACTTTGCCGGAGAGCTGTACAGCGTTTCGCCATACCTGCAGCGAACTCTTCCCGGTTTGTTTACCCTGAACGAGCGCGTGGTGCTGCTGGGCCGCTGGCGCTACGGCTTCTTCAGCTATGTGCCTGTCGGGGCGACAAATGTTGGCTCCATCAAGATCAACTTTGACCGCGAGCTGCGAACAAACAGCCTGTTGACGGACACGGCTGCCGATCATGCCGCAGAGGAGGCGGCGAAACGCGGCGAGCCGTACATGGGCTTTTCCGAGGCCACGTACGAGGAGGCCAGCTCGGTTCTTCATGGCCACGCCCTCCGTCGAGGCGAGGAGATGGGTGGATTCCAGCTGGGCAGCACCATCGTTTTGGTGTTCGAGGCGCCTTCCGAAAAGGAAGAGGGGGGTAAGCCCATCAGCGGATGGCACTGGGCAGTGGAGAAAGGGCAGACGATCAAGATGGGACAAGCCCTTGGACGAATCGTGGAGGACTAAGTCGGGAACACGGATTGTATTTTTATTATGCTTGTTGATAAGGCGGTTAATTCTGCGTGGGGAGTTGGAGCTGGCATATTGCGTCGAGGTATTACTACTGTATGAATACTCATATATCAATGTAATGACAACTGGTTGCAGAGCTCTTGGAAAGGTTTCAACGGTTATCTACGAGGGTCTTTTACGCTGTGAAGATGAAACAATGCAACTACTACGGTGTGAAGACCCATATATCCATGTGGTAACACTGATATCTATGATTCTGTTTCACAGCGTGGAGAAGAGACAACGGGACTGCTACTATATGAACTCTCACGTATCAATGTACCAACAACTGGCTCCAGGGCTTGCGGAAAGGCCTCTCGTCTATTTCTTTATCTCTATCTCTATCTTGATCTTGATCCTGGCGCCACGGAGAAGAAACAAGAAAGAAAAAAAAACAGTGACAATGGAGCCCGGCTCTACGAGCACGACAATAGCAAAGTAGCCTGAAAAAAGGCAATCAGATGCGCCACCCAACTCCTCCGAGTCCAGAACCAAATAAAAAACCAAAGCTCCCACCAACGTACAGGCCGTCTCATTTTACAGAGCACGCTATGCAAAATCCCAGAAGCCCATTCGCAGGGTCAACCCCGTTGGACGTGTGTGCTCTTCACGCACCAAAGACCTTGACACGGTCCTCGAGGGGCTTGAAGTCCTTGTCGCCGGGCTCGGCGGCGCGGCCACCAAAGACCAGCTGGGCATTCAGCTTCCAGCTCTTGGGCAGGCCCCAGGCGGCGGCGACCTTGTCGTCAATCAGCGGGTTGTAGTGCTGCAGGTTGGCGCCGAGGCCCTCGAGCTCGAGGGCGGTCCAGAGGAGCAGCTGCTGCATGCCGGCGCTCTGGGTGGCCCAGCCGGGGAAGCGGTCGGCGTAGGAGGGGAAGGCGGCCTGCATGCTCTTGACGACGTCGTCGTCCTCGAAGAAGAGGACGGTGCCGGCGGCCCTTTTGAACATGGCCATGCGGTCCTCGGTGTGCTTCCACTTATCGTCGGGGACGATGGCGCGCAGCGTCGACGTGGTCATGTCCCAGAGCTTGTCGTGCTCGGAGCCCAAGAGCACGACGGCGCGGTTGGACTGCGAGTTGAAGGACGAGGGCGTGTGGAGCGTGGTTTCGTTGACGAGCTCCCGGATGCGGCTGGCTGAGACGGGGAGGTTCTTGTCCAGCGCGTAGATGGTGCGGCGGGCCTTGGCCATCTGGATGAGGAGGTCGGCGGAGAGCTTGGCGGCAGACATTTTTCCCTCCTTTTTTTTTTCCCTCTCTTTTGTTGAGGAGCTGGCTTTTGTTCTTGTTGTTGTATCAAAGTACAGAGTAGGTACGGAGTAAGGTGAGGGTTTTTGTGTGTGGCCGGTGTGTACGGGGTTTGTCGTGATGAGGAAGCTCTATGTGGAATATATTACTGAGTGTGCAAATTGCAAGATGGTTCTACTACTCAGTGCCCGTGGTGGGATACGGGCATGAAATATATGCTTTGATCCAAACGGGATTACCACTGCGGAAATACTATAGGAGCCGTATCTTGATATCCGAGGCCGTCTGAGAACCCACATAACAAATCAAGTATGTAAGCAAGGTCCCTCCGCAATGAGAATAAATTAGCTCACAGTGTTCATTTTTTAGCTAGCTACATCGGCTAGTGTGTCTGACGCATCGCGATGCGTTCATGGTGTCTTGCGTGGTTAGTTACGGTTCCCTGGCGCCCCCCCCCCCCCCCCCTTTTTTTTTTGACCCCATAATTTAATGTAAGCAGGGTTTTGCGGTTTTCATTGTTGTTGATAGGAAGAGAAGGGTAAAGAAAAGTACTAAGTGACCCCACAGCTTCCTGACGGCATGCCACAGCCGGGGGGCCCGAAGCTGCCAAAGCATTCAGTCAGCAATTGGTCGTCGTCAAAATGCGACGGAGGTGGGGGTGGCAGCGGAGGGCGGCAAGAGCATCATTACTGTACAGTATAATCTGTTCCCCGCAACGAGACCCTTGTCGAGACCGAGGGCGGTTTCACGATTAAGTCTAGGCTTTTGATATTGCCAACTCAAACAAAACTGCAGCCCAACAATAAAAAGGAAAGAGGCCCTGCTCAAGGCGCAACAGGCAGTTATCTTAGATTCTTTATTTCAAGACGACGTTTTCAAGGCCCGTCTGCCGAAAGATTCATAATAGGAACGAACAGGCTTGTGATAGTCAAGACACTTCTCTGCTCATAGTTCCTTTTTGACTGAGAACCTTGCCACACTCGGCGCCAGGCAGGGTACAGAAGAGGCTACCGAGTAGGCATTGTTCTCTTTTGTTTTTGTGGATGCATATGGCATGTACGGGAGGCACGGGGTCTCAAAGACAAAGGCGAAACGGTCCAAGTAGATTTTCCAACAAAGGTTTCCAGCGCCATCAGTCTATTGCATGTCCTTTATCGCCCGGCAATGCGGCTCCCTGGGATAAGCCTGGCTTGCTAGTGGTAGATGTAGACAGTACCTTGTTGTGCGACTAACTTTTCGCGAAGCGTTTTACCTTTGCCAGCATGCCATGCCGTCTTTGCACCTGCGCACCATGGCGAGAACCAGAGAATATCTGTCAATTTGATCATATGGTCGACCATGTCATTAATTCATTAAACATACAGATAGCGACCTGGCCTGCTGGCCGCTCGTTTTATATACCTACTTGAGCTGTAACAACATGCCCTCGCCTGCGAGTGCGCTTCTATTTAATACATCTTTTCCCACGGGAACGTGTGGGTTTCGTCTTGCTAACTGAGTCTGGTCCGCGACTTGAGGCCTTGAGTCGAGCGCTGCGACGTAAACCTTGGGTTGATTCCTGAGTCGGCATCTTGAGCCCAGGTGACTGGCTGCTGTAATCTGGTCCGCGACGTAAGGCCTTGAGTCGAGCGCTGCGACGTAATCCTTGGGTTGATTCCTGAGATGGCACCTTGAGCCCAGGTGACTGGCTGCTGGAATTTGCGTCCCGGACGCTTTGAGTTTGATGCTGATCTAGTTGCTGACTTGCGCCAGTTGCTGGGTGATTCCGTACTCGTAGAACTCTGTTGCTGGTTTGCGAGTCGTGACCTCGGGCATTTGACTCTAGTCTCTTGGGCCTTGGCTGCGTTGAAGAGCCATCTTTGAATGCGACTCTTTTCCTCTTTTATGGCCTGCTCCCTAAGGTTACAGATTCCGCCTCGGCTGCGGTCAAAGGCACAGCCTGCGCCATGCAGTGACTGCCTTGTTGATCAAGTTGTCGGTTCATGTCTGATGATGCGATATTTCTGCTGCGTAAAGATCTTCTGTCTCTCGTGCCGGTTCTGCTGTTGTTTGGTTGTGAGCCATACTTTGAAGCGTGTGACTTCTGTTTTTTGGAGCTTGTCTCTACTATGCAGCCGTCTTCGGTTGAAACTTTCCTCTTCCTCATGGCCTCTCCCCCCAAGGTCCCAGCTTTCTGTTCGTCCTTGATTGAGGGAGTCTCCTCCACAGCCCATTCCAAAAGATTCACCTGATTGACTACATCTTGGTTCGCATTATCATAGTCAAATGTTCCACGAACAAACTCAAGAAGAAGATCATTCCGCCGCACGATAGAGTCAACCGTTTCTCGTGCGTTTGAGAGTCTTGTCCTAGCCTTAGCTAACATTTGCACGCGCCGTTTCATGGAAATGTTGAGGCGATTAGGATCCTGCTGCGTCTGATGGTAAACATTTGCCGCTTCTAATTCTGCATCTTTCGCAGCCTTCTTTGCGCGGTCTTCATCAACTTGGCGTTGTAGGGCAGACGCGCCCCTGCGAATGAAATCCGGAGTTTCGTTATCCTTTACTACCCCCTGTTTCTTTAACTCAATCCAAGCATTATCATGCTTTAACTTAAGGCGCTCTTTTAATGCAGTATAACGGTCAAGCCACCAGTACTCAAAGCCTAGGTATTCGATCCATGTTGTTAACTTATCCTGTTGCTTTGGATCCTCCGCTAGATAGAACGATCGCGTGAAGCCATGCCGAGCTAATCGCGCCCTCACAGCGCCCTGATAATCAGAGAAGCTATGGCATTCAAGCTCCCGCTGGTATCGGCGCCGCCAGTTGCAGTGTGTTTGCATAGCATGCCACCACTCGCCTGGCTGCTTCAAAGAATTTGGATCGGCTTCAATCCTAGCTGCCTGTTCGTCCCAGCCTATCTCTCTATATTCGCGTTTTAAGTCCTCAACATAAGCCGAAAAAGCCTCGTCATCATAATCGTCTTTGTAATTAATCCCTCTGTTATTAAGTTGCCATTTTCGGAAATTCTGCCACCGGTGCCATTGTCTTTGTAGTACGTCTTCAGGACGAAGGTAATCCGCCTCTGATGGTTTGTCCGATCGCGGCGGTCGCCAAAATGGTTTCAGGATCACGAAATACACATTGGGGTCTTTTGAGACCGATTCTAGGAGGTTAATTTGGTATAGCGGGTGACCACCATCATTGACAAGATTATTATACGCTTCCATCTCTTTTCGCTTATACATCTCTTGCGGACTTTCACTCGGCGGTTCAGTTACCCTTTCACTTGAACGCGGTCGGTCGTGAGATGGGGAATCTTGTCCGCTGGCTACATCACGCAGAAGCGCGTCGAGCTTGTCCAGGTCAAGCGGACGCGAGTTCGCCGCGGGATTATCGGCTATTTCCCGCTGTATTAATCTACGCGGGCGTAAGCGGATGAAAATATCCGGAAACAGAAAAAAGAGAACGTACCGTAGTCTTTCAGCAAGACGATCCCGCTCTTCTTTGGATAATACGGTCCAGTCATCAACAGGAAGCTCGATTGAGCCGTCACGTTGGCGATGTTTCTTCATATATTCGCAGAGCTGTTCGTCGCTCATTGCGAATAAATCGTTGACGGTCGTCATCTGCGAACGGGACATTTTGTTGCGAAGGATTTGCGGTGCTCAACCAGAAATGGCTGTCGTACATGTTCTCAGGACTTGTGTTGGTTCTTGAGGCACTTGGGGTAGGGGCTAGTAGTCCCATCGCCCTCAGAGCAGTTAAGGCTCCAACGAGGTCACGGGACAAGGATTATAGCCAATTAGAAGCGCACATTTTAGGGGTACATGAATTTCCCCCATAATTTACACTATGATTAAAGTACTAACATTCCTTTGAGTTACAAAGGGCTACATTAGAAGTCTCGCAGCCTCAACGCGATTGACGAGCTGCCCGGCGGCGATTAAGGGCATCGCGATCCCTTTGATTGTGTTAAGACTGAATCGCTAGCGCTGGCCACGTAATCGCGTAAGGGCTGTAATGTTGTCTGATGTAGTGACTTGTAACGAGGTGTTTTTCAAGGACTTTAATAAATGACTTAAATGTACCTTTTGAATCTAGCTTCCTATTGGATACACATCCCCATCCCTCCAGAAATCGGTCCCCACTTTTCTGCGATACCTGGCGGGTACCTTTTTGGCAATAAGGTCAGCCACTCAGCTGCGATATGTGCGATGTAGCTCTTTGTGACTCACAGGATTACTGGTACTTCTATCATCATATTATTTCTTGGTGGGTTTAAGTACCTCTTAATGCACGGTTTTGGCTAAAACCCGGATTCGATACCTGACTGGCACCTTAACACATTCAAAGGGATAGATCCCGTCTGGAGCCTGAGCACAATCAGAGGGGGATCCCCACAGATACCCGTCCACGCGGGTTGCGAAAGAGGCCGCACACCTGTGTGTGTGGTTGTGGGTGCGGGGTGTGCGGCCTTTTTTGCAACCTGCGTGCCGTCTGAGGCCTGAACATGGTTGGGATACAGTGCGTAATATAGTACATACACTAGCCTAATAAGAAGAATACACTAATATACTAAGGTATATTGTAGTATATTATAGTATACAGTGCGATACTCAGGTACCTTGCCAGGTTGCACACTTTACTGCATATGCAGACAGCCTGATAAAATGGGCGCGTAATGCATCTCAGAACCAACATGCATTTCACGCCCAATGATGAGAGCCACGTAGCCGCCCTCAGTCTCGAGGAGCTGCAGGATTGCCAGCACGATTGGACAGGGTATGTGAAATTTCCTCCATTTAAGCCGACTGTCATTTGTTATTTGTGGCAATATGCTTCCTCCTAGTTTTCGTCTCAACCCGTCATCGGACAATAAACCATGGACGTCAAAGACCTCATTGCTCGTGTGTACCCCAGTGTCGATCCTCACGGCCATACTGCAGAAGCCATCAGGGCTAGTCCGTATTATGTGCAGTCACAGTCCCTATCTGATGAACCGCCAAAAAAATTCCAGTATGGGCGTGATGACAGGGAGACAACTGAACCCACGCAGGAAGAGGACGCAAAAGTGTCTGCATATGATGGCAGGCCCTTCATCGAGATTAGATTCAGCAAGATCCCACGATCGTCTCATGGGGTCATATTCGGATGCAATAGGAAGAGTGATGTTGTTCTGCCTAATCTACGGGGTCTGAGCCACTTTCACTTTAGCTTAACTTTTGATGAGCGAAGACGATTTATCGTGAAGGACTTGGGTTCCCTTATGGGAACTGAGGTAACTTACGACAATAAAGGGAAAGGTAAGCGACGCAATTTTAACTGGATTATTAGCGGGGACAGAAAGGCTTTACAGGAGCAAAATATCATTATCAACATACACGAAAACGTTAAGTTCGAGATCGTGGCTATCAACCATAATATCACATCCCCATCATATATCGATAATGTTGAAAAGTTTTGCCAAGGGAGTGTGACCGCGGAAGGCCTCTTGGACGATCTAAATATCCCTCTTCGGCCAGACACGGAGTTTGCAACAGAAGCGCATACACCAGGAGAAGGCCCCATCTGTTTAAAAAAAAAGATTGGAGAAGGGGCATTTGGTGTTGTCATTCATTGCTGGGATGTGAGCACCGGCGACGAGAATGTTATAAAGAGGCCAACCGACGCTACCATTAGGAAGTTCCTCAGAACGGGCGCCAACAAAGAGGCTAAACTTGACAAAGACCGGAAAAAATGGAAAGCAGAAGCAGAAAACATGAAAAACCTGATACATGTGAGTATACCTCTACGTTCATGGAGTCATGGCTCTAACCTCAACAGCCTCATATTGTACAGCTGTTCGATGTTATCGACGATCCATACCCCCAATTGGTCTTGGAGTATATCCCGGGAGGGCCTTTGTCCCAACTAGAGAATATAACGATTTCCGAAAGTATGCTGGTTCTTACACAGTGTCTCTCGGCTTTAACGCTTATACATGAGAACGGGTTGGCGCATCGCGACATATCACCGAACAATATTCTTGTTAAATCGCGGGAACCCTTGGTCGTTGTTCTCGCTGACTTTGGACTATCCAAAGATGCGGAGCAATTGCTCTCTAAATGCGGCACTGCTCCGTTTGCCGCACCGGACATATTCGAAGATAGAAGTTTTGCGCGCTACTCGGCGGTGGTGGACATCTGGTCCCTTGGTGTGGTGATGTGTAGGATCCTGGGAATTCTCCCAAGTTACTCTATGCACATGTACAATCTCAGGCATAATGTTACCAAACTATCTTGGTGCAGTATGGTGGTTGATTCTGTCGGAAAGCTTTACCGCCGCCGACCTGACAGCCTGAAACAATTTTTGCTCCTGAGCATGCTAGTCCTATTTCCAGAAGGACGAAGCTCTGCTCGGCGTTGTTATGAGAGAGTAAAGGAGCTTACTTGACCGCATTGTGGGCGATGAAGCGTGCGATAGGATCTCGGACGTTCTGTGGCGCGAGGCTACAGTTGTCTATGCTAGCGACACCGACACAGACGAGCAGACCACTGTGCGGCCCAGGGATGCAGCACCGGCAATTACTGCCGGCGAGGCGAACGATGATGAAAGGTCAACCGATGGGATGAGTTCCAGAAATTCAAGCTCCGGGGGTGGCAGCACAAGGCAGAGAATTGCCGCAGCGCCACCTCCATCACGTCAGTCAGAAGCTAGGTCAAGCTTGAAGCGGCCAACAGCAGAAATGGCGTCCCAGAACCCCAAATTGAAGCGCCGAGGGCGGGCGTCCATCTCGCAATCAGACAGCTTTCTTGATACTGAAGTCGGTCCGGAGGCTGTCGAGGCGGCGGCGGTGTTACAAATGTTGGAAGACGCTCGCGCACAGGTATGTTGATCTTTTCTCCATTGTCCTTCGAAACTACGGAGTAACTAATGTAGTAAGAAGCGATAAATTACCAGAGGCGCCCCCTAAAGTAATCATTCATGGCACCCAAGCCCAAGGCTCTCAGGTCCGTTGCCAACGTGAGCCCTTGCCATAATAGGTGTAACATTGACGCAAGGCTGCCCGTCGGGGGTCGCTGCAAGCGAGATACTGCCTGCGGCAGCTGGATTCGGGCCTCTTGAAGCTGTTGAAATCGGGCCCTTAAGGCTGCTGCTACTGAATTCGAAGCTTTTCGGCTGAGTTGATTGAAGCTGCTACAGGGTTAGCTATAGCTATTCAATCTCCTAGAATTTTTTTTGTGTTTTCTCTTTTTGTTTTTTGTTCTTTTTTTTTTTCACACGGGGGCCGCCTGTAACGGGCTTCCGCCCCCGACGCTTCTTGATGATGTTATTGTTATTGTGAAATTAATTGTGTGAGGTCGGCTAGAAGGCCAAGTTGCTAGGAAGATGCCTGCAGCTCTCAACACTAAGAAGGCAGGCTCGGGATAGTCCACAACAATACGTGCCAATACGAATATTCAAGTCAAGTTAATAATACTACCAGACTGTCTATAGCAGGGCATATTTGCCCACCAAGAAGGATACACTACTATGCTATACTATATTATAACGTAGAGCGCGGTAGCCAGGTACTGTCTAGTCAAGTACTCTTCGTCTCCCACTGTAATTCCAGGCCAGGCCATCTAGACCGATACCGAGTCAAGTTTGAACTATACGAGGCTAGTAGTTGCAGTGGCACTGTATTCATAGACTCTCATTAAGGAACAAAAGCTACAGGGCTCCATGTCGGCACTTGCTGCACGCTTTCGGCGCAGCTTTATTTTTAATAAAAGCCGCCATAGCCCCGCGAGGGCGGCAAATTTGGGGATTGATTAGACGGATCTCCAGCTATCGCGATGTAGGTTGTGATATTGAAGGAAGGAGAAAGAAAGAAACGCCCTGACGGCTGTAGCCTATTAAAATCCGTCCACTTTCAAGATGGAGCTTTTGTTGTTGTGAAAAGCCGCCACGCAACGGGTACTGAAAATATACTGCGAAGTGTTCCTCGGGAGCGGGACTGGGCAGCGGCCACTTTGACACACCTTACAGTACATTTGCAATATAAACACGGCAAAGTGAAAATGTGCTTGTATAATTGGTACATTAATTTCTCAACGGCACGCCTCGGGCGAGCTCCAAAACGCCCCAAGTGGTTACCGGTGTTTTTGTTAAAAATTAAAAACATCACTGACCAAGCCTTTGGTTTCTCGCCTGGGAGGTCTGCAGATGTATTCGATTTTTGCAATTGAATGCTACCGGCTCTACACATTTACCCATACATATCCATATGAACGTCCAATACCCAAACCTCAAGTTTTCTCTTTTCTTTTTTTGAAGCACTCATCCGACCCAAAATGCTCACAGCGGTATTCCATATGGCCCGCTTCCCAGCTTCAGAATGTGCTTCCTCTGCTGTCTCATGCCAACATGGCAAACCACATGAAATCTCGCCACATGATATCTGCCCATAAAAACCACCGTCATAACGCCACTCATGAATAATGCATGATGAATATAGGCTGACCTGTATCCGGCCTGTGCTTTGCGACCTGACGACTATATATTCTAGCACGCATAGCCCATCCATACTTTTTAGAAGCCAAAGAGATGACACAAGAGGAAAGAAAAGGCCGGCGGGCCCAGCCAAGTTTCCGTTTCCAATACAAATACAACACAACACCCACGGCCGTGTACAGCCCGCCGGGCAAATGAACATGACTGGGAGCTGACATATTACCAAGTCTCAGCAATGTACTGTCCGGCCTCCTTTTTGAGCTGCCAAAAGTTCTTGGCTTCGTCGCGCTCCAAGTTACCCTTGGACATGGCGACATCGACAAGAGAGTCTTCAACCCCTTCGCCCATACCCTTGGAGCTGCCACAGACGAAGATGCGACCGTCCACCGAATTGGCAATGTACCATACGAGGTCGGCTTGGTTTCGTACCTCTTCCTGTACATATCGGCCCTCGCCCCGGCGGCTTTGCACCACTCTCTTGACTTCGTCTTCGTGTACACCCCATTCACCGCTGTAGATCTCATCGACTAGAGAGTCGCGGATTCCTTGCAGAACCCACACCTTGTTGGCACAGTTTGCCTGCTTCAGCCGTCGCTGTACGAAGCCACGGAACGGGGCAATGCCAACCCCAGCACCAATGAGCAGCATTGGGCCGTCAGAGTTGAACTGTTTCGCCAGAGGGTTGGCCATGAGGCCCTTGAACATGGGGATGTAAAACTCGGGTGACTTTTCGCCAGCCTCCTGCGCCCTGATGTAGCGTCGGGCCTGTCTTTCGAAAAATCCAGATCCAACGCCAGTGCGGCAGCCCTTCTTCCAGTCGTTGGTCTCATGAACGGTAACGGCAATCTCGATGAGACGATGTCGCTTCTGGTCGCGAATCTGGAAAGACTCGTGGGGATCATTGGATAGCGAATAAAAGCGCGGCATGAGCGGTTGCAGGCACGACAACAGCTCATCCAATGGGGGGTGAGAGCTGGGGAAGGCGTTGAGGAGCTGGGAAACAGTGATGTGAGGTCCGGTGCGGAAGTCGCAGAATGTTCCCTGGCCTTCGGATGAACAAAGGAACATTAGTATCTTCTTCTCGTTCTCGGCTACAGCATGCTCAGCGAGGACCCTGAGAAGAGGCTTTGTCGGGGGGTAGGACTGAAGATCAGTACACCATGTGAGCAGGTCGCGACGAGTAGTAACGAGTTCTCGTGCCTTGTCGTCGCCCCAGACGGTTGGCCATCTGCCTTTGGTTGTGGTCAACATGATGGGTTTGTCGCGGATGAACCGAGGCACCATCAATGTATCAAGAACGTCCTCGACTACCAGTTCACAGTTGGGAGCCATGACGCCAATGGCGCCGCCAACTTTGAAATCATTGCCATCTTCTTCGGGGTAGTCTGTGATGTCAAGATCGAAATGGTACGTTCGCTTCTCGGCACCATCCTTGGTCAACTCCCGGGCGGTATGAATCTTGGCTGGGTAAACGTGGTAAGGAGGATGTGGTTGGACAAATCTGGGAGGCTGAATCGTGGTATCAATAGATGAGAGCGTCTGGCTGAGACCTGCATTGTCCAACGCGGGGCTTGCATCGCTTGGTCTGTGTTCGCTGTCGAAGCCAAGCGAAATGGCCGAGTCTGTAGGGGATGGGGTACTTCTGGGCTTCGAAATTGATTTGAATGAAATGGTTTTCTCTGGCATCTCGACAATCTTGGTCAATGTAGTGGGAATGTCGCCAATTTTGAGCCCAAGGGATCGGAATGCATCATTGTCCGGCAGTGGAACGGTCTCATATTCAACGCCAGAACGGCGAGAGCCTCCCATCAAGCAGCAACCGCCGCCGCAGCAGCGACCAACAAACTCGGCAGTCGTCTCGCCGGTAATGCGCTGGATGTCGCGGGCATTTTGGGCAATCAGTCTTGTCGAGGCCCGGCGTTGGCGAGGTTGCACTCGACTGGTAGGTTCGTCCTGGTCCTCCGACTCCTCAGAGTATGTCAATGAGGGAGCAATGGACGGTGCATCGGGCTCCGAGGGGATGCAATCGGATGAAGGGGACACAAGGTCTTGCATCTGCGCCAACTCTGTCATTGTAGGAGAGGGAAAATGCGTTGAAATCAAAGACGCTGCGTGGGGTTGGCGCAAATCGGTGTTGGCAACTGCGCGGTGGCAAGACGCAGATACGAGAGATTTGTCTGCCGTCGGCTGTCCGGAAGAGTACTTGAGCCCGGAGTACTTCGGCACCGACTGAGCCGCGAGCAGGTACTCAAGCAGGGCCAAGGGTCAGGTATTCTTGCCGTGTTATAGGCGTGCGGAGGTCTGGTGCAATCCAACTTGGAACGCAAAGACAATCACCAAAGGAATGTGTGACTGTTGAGATAATAGTGCGGCGAAGAAGACTGGGGACCGAGAGACTCGGGTCGTTGGAGTGAGGAGAGATCCAAGGTTATACGGAGTACGGAGTAGGAAAGTTGAATTGAATCTGGAGTCGAATTGACGCGAGGACTTTGGCATGCAGTGAACGAGGAAACGAAGGGTATTTGGGGGGACACCAGAACTGGGGGGCGACCCTCCAAACCTCCGAGGACTCAACTGGGGAGGGGGTCGAGGGATGGGGGGGTGCGAGTGGGGGAGTGTGCCGGACACCGGAGAGAGCACATGTGCAGCCGTTATTGATGAGGGTGTGTGTAGGTTTCGACACTGTGCTGACGGTGCAACCGGCAGGCTGAGAAACGGCTACGGCCAGCCTGTGGCCCGTGGTCGATGGATCAATTGGCCATGATTACTACGGAGTACCTAGGGAGGAGGTAGCTTCGAAGCCCCTCTTGGTTCCATTGATGAATTATTAATTTATTACAGAGTGCCGAGTACAGCAAGCGACAGACGAGATTTATTTGCGCAGCCTGCTTGGTTCCTTGGCCACTGCAGAGCACTTGGACGTTTCGAGCGTGCGACAGCTAAGCGGGAAGATTGATTACGACATTGACCTCGCCCAACCGGTGGATTGATCATGATGACTTCATGTTGGAAGCATGGATGATGGCTGGACAGCTGGACCCGGCGTCACAGCTTGGATATGCACCCACCGGTAGACCCTACAGGGCACTCCCACAGGGCAGCCTCCCCTGGCTTTCCCATGTCAGTTACGCTAAGAATGCCTTGTGCAGCCCACAACGCATCAATCATGACTTAATCGTGTCCCCTTTTTTATCAATCGCCAGCGATGCGAGATGACACCTGTGCTTATCCATCAGGCACGACATGACACCATGCATGACTGGAGCAAGCGTCAATCAGTACTAATCTCGGTCGCGCGCGCGCGGAGACTGCTGGACCGGGACGACCGCGCAAGCCGTGCGAAGTCGCATAAATTTGTTTGACAGCCATGGGGGGAAGCTTTTGCGTGCCGCTCTCTTACGACGTGATGAGGCAGCAAAGCAGCTAATGCGGCCAAGTGCGTGAGGCAGATGCATCCCACCCCGATCAACGGAGCCGGCAGAACACCGGCCACTTGACTAGGTCCAGTCTGAAGCCCAACTCGGACCGGGCTCGAAAACCTGGAATGAACAAGTTTATCAATCAGCTCCGACACATACCTCCAATCTTGAATGTGTCACTTGTTTATTGCAGGGACTTGGCTACACAGCTCATTCTCATCGCGATCAAATTTGCTCCCCCTCCCCAGGACTTCACGCACAGTTAATAAATAGCCTGCCAGCTGGCAAACATGGCCTTGCATCTGGGTCCCTGATTCTACAACTTCGTCTGAAGGAGTCAACGGTACATGATGCATTGATGACCTGTTGGGGTGGCCGTCATTGGCCAGCAAGCCAGTCCACCAACGGCTGACTGCCGATTGATAACGGGCTGCATGTTGCATGTCGCCTGTTCCGCTTTGATCCCCGGATCGAGAATGGAGGCTTCCCACACATGCACTCGTTACTATCGAGACAAATACGTATTCTCAATGAGCCCGTCGCATTTTGGCTCTTAGTTCGGGCCAGCCTTTGCAAAACCGGCTCGCGTGCCAATGGCAGTCCGCACTCTGGAAGGAAGGCGTAAATGGCTGGGCGGTAGTCCCGCTTCCTATTCGACTGACGGTACCAGTGCTTGCTTCGTTCCAGGCCAAAGAGAGGGAAGCCTACTATGCTCACACCCCCCGTTCAACACATGTCATGCCACGAGCACCGTGCGAGCCCGCCAGTTCTTCCCGATGGCGTTCTTCCCAGCCGAAATTTCCAGCCGTCTTGTTCCGTCTCGACTGATGCTGATCCGTCGATGCAGCGATCCCGCCATGGTCTGGGACTCTAACGGCGCTTTTGTGACCTGATTCACGGCTTCAAGCTGATGCGTCTTCATTTTAGGAAAAAATGGCCATCCGTTGAGGCAGAAACTTTTGCCCCATGCCTTTTGGCCGAAAAGAAATATCGCCCCAGGTTTCCATTCATGTGTCGAGATCCATCACCACGTCACATGAGCGTAAAAATGGAGCCCTCGTGCAGCTGACGCTCAATTAAATTGTTGACGTGTTGACGTGATTTCCCAAGACGGAAAAACTCAGCAGTGCAAAGCATGAATTCACCACGTCTGTTGATCCGTTCCAGTCTCGGTGGGCCGGCCACTGGCGTTTCGGCGTCGCGAGCCTTCCTCACCTCACATTTTCGTGGATCTGACTAATAATTTCCCATCCGCTGGACCGGGTCCGATGAAAGGCCACGAAACAAGGACTCTCTCCTGTCATTGCAATGTCGCTTGTTAGGAATGTTCCTTGTAGGTCCATGTGAAACGTGGGTAAACAGGATCGTGGCGGGGCCAATCGGAGGCTCCTGTCCTTGTTGAGGAAAAATTTTCTTTATCTGATCATCTTATCAATCAGTCTGATGGCATCTATCCCTTCCCCCGTTCCGGCTTCTTATTGCCCGGACATGACGCCGTGGTTCACACGCGCCGAGCTCGGATCTGATGCGCGTTAGGTGTAGCATCTAATAACTTAGAACTATTACTCCTTCGTCCGTTTATTCCATCCCATGCTTCCACCCCCTTCTCCTTATAACGTCATACATACATACACATTTACAAGGAACGTGTTCCGGTAACCAGGTTCTGGGAGGGTTTCTTATTTCAAGATCCTGGCCGTTACTTACACCAAGTACACACACTGTGCCTTCTTGCGTAAAATTAGTCCTCGTGTCAGTCTTCTGACTCGGGTTTATATTCAATGCGAGCTCTAACGCGTCGTGATCCCTTTTGAAAAACGACGATTCTTCCCTCAAACCCTCTTGGAAATTTCAACGGTGAGCGTAGTGTAGGCCCTCGGGTCCCATAACAACGTTGGATACGCGTAAAGCGGGTGATACAGCCGGCTGGGGTCTGAATTTTGCCAAAATATGCCACCAGTGTGTGTTTATAGAGTGGTGCTTGATACGCCGCCATGCTGTCAAACGGTCCTCGGCCTTGGAACAATCTGCCGTTGGGCCGTGGTTGGACGGAGCACCTTTGAACAAGCTTGCATAGCCGATTGCTAGTTGCATTAGCATCGAGAAGCCGGGGTATAAAAAGTACTACGGTACGCCATGCCTGAAGCCAAGAAGCTCCGACACGGTGGACATGATTAGGAAGGGCCGCTGACTGGCATTGTCTCGTATTTGGTAGGGCTTGGTGACTGTATCCTGGCTCGGGGAAGCTACCCGGGCCTCAGCATGCATTCCGTCAGTTCTCACATGTTGGCCAGACCGTGTCAGGGGCGGGCGCAGACGTCTTCAAAATATGAGCTTATCACGGAATTTCCGGCTACCAAAGATGAACCACTTTCGGGTCGGAGTGACGCCGCTGCAATAGGAGACGGAAGGGCAAACGCCAAGTCTACCCATGCCCCAATCGCTATTTTTGACTTTGGCCAAAGACCTGTCTCGTTTTGGAGCTACAAATACCCTGTTCTGATATACTAGCAGTGAGTCATGACTCCCTCCTCTCGCTGTACGGAGTGCTCGGTAGGCTATTCAACATCGCCGTGAAGAAGCAAGGCCTCGTGGCGGCCGCTGCCGAGGATGTAGGTTACCTGACGCAATTTGTCCTTGGCAGGAACCGGTTTTCTTCTCCGTGCATCGCCTATACTGTACCGACTTGGGCAATAAAGGGTGGCATAAAAACTCACCTTCGCCTACGCCGTACAGCAATCGGCTATAAGATGGGGGAATCATGTAGTTATCATGAAGGCAGGTGTCCAAGCTGCATTAACAGTGAACGCTCTGCACACATGGTAACTTGATGTCTTCCTGTTCCCAAGAAAAGCAATGACATCGGCATTCATGGCCTTGAAATGTTACCTTTGATCTGTCCCAGTTCTTATCCTGCATTTGGTATGCTGCAAGGGGGAGCATTTGGGGCGGATTGTCACGGCCTTGCGGGATCCCAAGCCTCGAATGAGCATCATGAAACGGAGGTCCTGCATCTAGGCCAGGGTCAGTAGTTCGTCTTTATACTCTTGAATTTCTTTTGCGATATAGACACTTCTGTATACACGTACCCCTGGTTTCATCATCGGCAACTACATCGCTTTGATGCAACTTTTGGCATTGTGTAGCGGCAACAGCATTTTAGTTGCATTTTCAGACATGTCGTACTTGCACAGACATCACAATCCTCCATGGCAAGTTGTGTGGGTAATTCTTTTGATTTGGCCGGACGCCCATAAGCATGTTACATACACAATCCAGCCCATTCCGGAACGCCCTCTCGCCGTGGTAAAACCATGCGGTCAAATCGCATAACATGAAAGAAAGATTAACAAATATCCCTGAGCAGGCATGCAAAATCGTCGATGCACAGATACAGCTCCAAAAGTCAAGTCGTAGTAGTATGGTGGGAATTCCCCGTCAGCCGTCCAAGCAGCAATGAAAATGACTTGGAGCTCGTGAACACTTTACGTCCAAGTTCCTCTCGCTCTCCGTTTACGACTTATAGCGCTGGTATTCTCCGGCAACCAAACAATGGTCACGCTCGAAAGGTTCTGAGCGTTCGTGTTAGCTGGATCTTCGCGGTTGGACTGATAAAGAAAAGAGTCGTGACTTACCCAGAGTAAGCTGGAACTTAGGCTTGATGGCCTCAGCTCGCATCTTCTGGACTTCGCTGGCAAAAACCTCAGCAGGAGGGGCAGTGCTGTCGATGCAGTTTGCCTTGATGGAGATAAGAATACCGCCACCGACTTTGAGGAACCAGTTGGCATTCATGGCAACAATACGTGCCTGGTCAGGCTGAGCAACGTCGGCAAAGATGACGTCCACCATGGGGACAATCATGCGGTAACGAGCGGGCTGACGGGCATCTTCGACAATGGGAACAACGTTGGTTCGCCTGGAGGCCATGCTGATGAGGTCACGACCAGATCGGGAAGAAAACTCGACGGCGTAGACGTATCCGGTAGGACCAACGAGATCGGCAACGTGCGAGACAGAGGTGCCAGAGGCAGCGCCAAGATAGAGGACACGGGAGCCAGGGCGCATGTAGATGTCGTCGGCACCTCCAGCAATGGCAGCACAAAGCTTGCTTCGGAAGGGGTTCCACATACGGTACTCAACCTTGGTTGTTGTGGAAGTGCCGTCGTCATTCTTGACAGTCTCATCGACAGAAATGCGTTTTTCGCCATAGACAGACTCGCCGGGCGTTAGGTTCCGGGTTGCGATGCCATCTTCCTTGCCGCCACGGACAACGAACACGCCGGGGTGACGGTGAGGCTCCTACGAAGAGTTCTGGTTAGTCTTCCGTCTGGACGGAGGGAATGATCCCAGGACGATGTAAGAATAGAGACATACAATGATAACCTTGGCACCACCCTTCTGGCCAGCGCCCCCACGGGCACCGCCGCGTCCAGCACCACCGCGACCACCTCCCCGACCTCCACGGCCAAAAGCACCGCCTCTACCACCGGCACCACCACGGCCGCCTAAACACCAGCAATTTATTAGCCTTCATGTCACGACAATGGAGGACAACAGCAACCTGAAATTAATGAGAATACCATACCTCGAGCACCACCACGGGCACCACCGCGACCACCACGATCACCGCCAAATCCTCCACGGCCGCCTCCACGACCGCCTCCACGAGCACCGCCGCCGCGGGGACCGCCTCGAGCACCGAAGGCCATTGATGAAGAAGTCGTGGCTAAAGATTTAGATAATACAGATTGAATGCAACCTCCGAGGAGATTGGACAAGTCCTCAAGCGTTCCTGTGAACTCTTGATGTTTAATGTAGAACTTGCCGCTGGCGTAACTGGCTGGGATATTCTGAATACTTGCAGCGTTAGGTGTCGAAGAAATTTTTGAAGCTTTTCCCTGGAGCTTTTTTCAGGCCCCACTTAAAATTACTCTTCTTGGTTAGAGTGCTTTTCGCAACGACCCTTGCTCGATCCGACTTTATTCCGACTCTCATGGAGAAACAAAAAATGCCAAATGACACAGATCACGTGGCGCTGGGCCTAGGAGAGGAGTGTAGGTGAGAACCTTCCATAAGATGCAGCACTGAGATCAGGCCCAAATCATCAGAAAATTAGATATTAGAAAGAATAAGAGTTTCAAGCATTTCTTTCACCCTAGAAATTTAATTTTGTTTTATTGCACTCAATCTTTCGTAAGTTTCTAGGCTGGATTTTAACCCAGGGCGTGCAGCGTCTAGGGGTGGCCACATTGGACTAAGGAGGGCAGCCAAACCCTAAGACATTCCCGAATCGGTAAGCGAGCTTTGGTCCCAGCCCAGCGCCCTGGGCAAAAGTTCTGAATTTCTCAACTCCAGCCCGCGAACCCACGTCGTCGAATCAGTCACCACATCCAAGCCGTCGAGATGGTGAGTTTTGCCCTGCAACAAACGGACGATTTTGATTATGGAATAGAGAGTCCTGTTGTGCAATCGCCCCTTGCACCTTCAAGATGTCGCTATTTCAACGATGGAAGATTGAAGATTGAGGGAGGTTGAAGTAGCAACAGAACGACGGCTGACAAGTTGGTGCTCCCCGAAAAATAGGTTCGATACGCCGCGACCGAGATCCAGTCCTCCAAGTCGGCCCGCGCCCGCGGTGCCTACCTGCGAGTTTCCTTCAAGAACACCCGCGAGACCGCCCAGGCCATTAACGGCTGGAAGCTGCAGCGCGCCGTTGCCTTCCTTGAGAACGTGAAGGAGCACAAGGAGGCCGTCCCCATGCGACGATATGCCGGCAGCACCGGCCGCTGCGCCCAAGGTACGACCTGGATCTATGGCGATTGAGAGCCCTGAGAACCTTTTTGCTGTTGGGATATGGGCTCGCCCCGCCTCGATCTCGATATTGGATCAAATGTTCAACACATGAAGGCGAGGGCGGGTTGTCCTGACACGGGAGTTGACAGTTGGCATCATTTTTGCGGCCGAGAGGCATCACGGGGCAATTTTTGCTGATACAAAATTTGAATAGGCAAGCAGTTCGGTGTCTCCAAGGCCCGGTGGCCTGTCAAGTCGGCCCAGTACCTCCTGGACCTTCTGAAGAACGCCGAGTCCAACGCTGATGCCAAGGGCCTCGACACTGGTACCCTGATTGTCAAGCACATCCAGGTCAACCAGGCCCCTAAGCAGCGTCGCCGAACATACCGTGCCCACGGTCGTGTACGTTTCCCAGCATCAATCTCCGCCCGTGTACGATTCAGGGGGTGGGAAGAGCACTGAAAGCTAACACGATGGCACAGATCAACCCCTACATGTCTAACCCTTGCCACATCGAGCTTATCCTGACCGAGGGCGACGAGGTCGTACAGAAGTCTGACGAGGTTGTCGGCCGTGAGGCTCATCTCAGCTCCAGACAGCGTGGTGCTCGTCTCCGCAAGGCTATCACTGCCGCATAAATTTATTTTTTGAAAGCGTGAGGCAGGGATGGATTGTTTTTGCGGAGGGCGATGAAACAGGCGTGGGAATACTTGAAACCTTCATATGTGTTTTCGGGGCGATTCGTGGCTTTTTCATCTCCTTGGTGTATGGCAGGCTGCGGTGGGAGCATGGCATCAAATAAAAAGGGAAAAAAGAATTTCGCATACAAATTTTTTCCTCTTTTTGCTCGGCAAGGGTTCTTGACGAAAATAAATCAACGACATAAAAAGGTCACATGGCAATCCTTGTCTTGTGTCACTGGTGCTCTGCTTGTGAAGTTGTGAAATGGACAACATAAGGCGTAACAATATTGACTTTTCCTGTTTGGTAATCGTAGTCAGCATCGGGATTTGACAGTAATTATAGCTGCAAACGGAAGCTCGTTGCGTGGCGATACGCCACTTTTTCTTATATGCTTTTCTCCTCCACATTTATGTGACAATTGCGCGACAAGAAAGGCTGCCAGCTCCCGCCTGCTCATATATCTAACCCTGGCTTGGCAAAACTGTGAGTCTCGCTATATATAAAAAGTTACAGCAAATAATCAGAAGCGCCATCCCGGAATCAAACGCAGTTGAGCCAGCCAATACATAGCCCGGCCCTTCCAGTGTATAACAAATAAAAACCCCGCACTTGGCAACCTGCCCAGGATCTTGGCCAAACCCAAACTCTACCCTATCGGTGCGAATGGTAGTGAATGAGTCAGTAGGCCTTCAATTGACATCATTGGCATAGCACTAATTCCATCTGTTTGGAATTAGTGCGCTTCATACCATACGCCACGATCGTATGCTTCAAGTAGACCACTGAAACGACCCTCGCCTGGTCTTTGCACCCCATCCTTCCTGGCATCATTGATCAACCACGCGTCGTAGAGATTTTCCCAACCAATGGACATGCCAAAGGCATTGATGAGAACGGCTTGTTCCTTTTTTTTCATACACTGGATGATGTTTGCCAGCAGCCTGTCTTTGCAAGACTGCATTAGGTTCATAATATCGTGATTGCTGTCGTGATTGCTACCGTGAATGATGCCGTGTCCAAGGTGCGAATCAGGAAGAATCTCTCTTGTCTTCAAGTAAGCTGAATCAACCGAGACGTAGCCACATGATTTGAAAGACAGGGTATTGAGGCAATACCTATGCTCATCTCCTCGTAGATCGGCAGTATGCGGGATATACTGGGTGACTGCGCCAACCTTTTCTGCCAAGGCTGCTGACACAGTGTCGCTATCGGATTGTTCAGCCAACAGTTGCCTTATCTTCACACTCGGAGAGAAATGATCGACCAGCCCTGGCCATGTGAGCAGATCTGGCTGGCGGAGCCAGTCTGTTGACGAATGCTGTGCATTATCATCACCAGGAGGATTGATGGGTAGATTGAATTGCGGCAGCGGCAGTTGTGTCAACTGTGGCGGCACGATGAGCCCGGGTGCTAGGCCACCTTGAACCACCTCTACATCTGGATCATCATCTTCAGGTGCAATGATACCCTGGCCGGGGACAGGGACCGCTGCCTGGGCCAGGACAACCTGAGGTATGATTGTAGGAGGACCAGAAAGGGAGACAGACTCCAATTCCAGCTTCTCAAGAGACGAGAGGGCGAACTGGCGAATTGCTTGCAAGAAGATATGCGGCGACGACCAACAGTTTTTGAGAGATAGGTGCTTCACATAGGGGAGTTGTAGCAAGCTTGATGTGCCATCCCGAACGGCCGTCGGGGTGACCATGAGCTCTGGTTGATTGACAAAGGGGGCGGGAAGGATATATGAATTGCGCTGATACGAGCTTGGCGCAAATTCACCGCCGCATATCCATTCAAAATGAAGGCTCTCGACATTGGGGCACTTGCCGACGTGAGCGCTGAGCAGTGTGAAAGCCTTGCCGACGGATTCAACAGGCGATATACTGATATCCTCGACAAATCCGGGCGTAGAGACAGTCATCTTTCGCCAGTCAGCAATGACGCCAATTGATACGTTCTTGAGGGTGGGGATGCCGTCCCAAAGGTCATCTCGGCAGAAGATGTGAACATGGCTTCCCGGGACCTTGGCGATTGTCAATGTTGTAACGTGCTGGAAACAGCCAATGGAAGCGTTATCGATCAAACCCAGCACGTAGGATTGAATCATGGCGCGATGTGCCCATTCGAGCTCAAGCAACATCTCTTTTTGGGCTCTGGTGAGATTCGCAGGTATCAAGGGCGAATTTGCCACGTCCTTGAAGGAGTTGAAGGGAATGACGTGGCCCAGAACTCCGTCAGGGCCAAGATTTGAGGCGAGTGAGGTAGACCTTTCGTCAAAGTTTATATTTGCAAGATTGACGTTTTCGGTGTCAAGCATGATGCGCACTGCTTCCGGGACTTGACGTCCTGTGTAGCCAGCATCCTTTGCCATTCTCTCAAGAATTGTATTCCGGAATGCCTTGGGATTGGGGAACATGGACTTGTGTTTGTCTCGAGAAGCGTCGTTAAAGTCGGCAACAGTGATGGCAGGCTGATGGGCGCCTTGAGCCGATCGTTGATGGCGACGCCAGTCCACGGTTGCAAACACAGGGTGATGGCCACGAGCGTTTCGTGCCAGCTTGTCTGGCCCAAGCAGGAATCCGAGGCCGGCATCGCAACACAAGCCGATATTCTGTACCTTGGTCAGACACCCAAGTGCAGCCCTCATCCCCTCGGTTTCGTCAGCGGTCTGCTCGAGGCCCTCAAGATCGGTATACCTATGGTAATTTGCATGTGGCCAGCGGTAGATGCCCCAGAAGGCCGGAACAGCCTCCTGGATAGGCTTTACTGGCGGATAGGCGAGCGAGTCTTCATCAAGCTCGAGAGAGAGTGCAAAGCGGAGGATATGAGGCCCAAACGACTCAAACATGTGCATTCCATTGGAGAAGAGGTCAGAGGTCGAATGGCGCAAGGAGCCATATTCATCCCGACTCAGTGCGCTGTATAGCTCGGATCGGAATGGGACCACGACATTGCGAAAGTACTGGGCCGAGACCTTGGCTTCAAAGTCGCGAGATACCAAGCGGAGGTTCCTGAGCTCGGCCCTGCTCAAATAAGACGTGATGATGTCGAAGATCTCCACCGGAACTTGTGCCATGGGCCATGGAATGAGATGGGAGAGGATATGGGACAAGGATTAGCTTGCTTGCTGCGCCGAGGCAAGAGACGGAGCGAGTATGCATATATTGAGAGGGTTGGTGCAGGACATGGCCCGAGGCGAGGTCCTTGTCAAGGGTACCGCGGCGGAGAAGGAGTTATTGATGGCTATTGATGGTAGTTGATGGTAGTTGGAAGTGGTTTGGATATGCTTTTGGGTGGATCTGAGATGGGAGCCTGCGGCGTGGCACTGGAGCACTCCATGTTCATGTTTGAGTCAATCACTCCGTCACCACCTGTGGCACGCCACCACCACGGCACTCCACCAACATGCTGCGGACTGGTTGGGGCCACACTCGCTGATCAGATCTGGATCAGTGTTCAGGTGGTGTCTTGTTGGTTCGGGTTGGTCCGCCGTTTTGGAGCTTGGCCGCGCAAGCCGTCTCTTTGTGTGGTTTGTGTCCCTTGGTGCCATGCATGTGTTGTCCTACCAATAGGGGAAGAGCCTCCCGGAGAAAAGTTTGCTTGCTTTACTTTGCCATGGCCAACTTCCAAATTTCTCTTGCTTGTCTTTCTTTTTGTTTGGGGGACACGGATGTTTGGGTCGACTCAATTTCGATTTTCAACTGTCCAACTGTATGTTATGATACACCAAGAGCCAACAAATCACACCCGCTAGAACAAAAGGAGTTATGTACAAGCATTCTCTCAGCAGCAAAGAAATAGAGTGCCACAGAGAAAAAGAAAAGGAAAAAATCATCCAAACTATAACATAGCATGGGACGCATCAGTCAATCAATGATGTCAGGTACTAGGTAGCCCTGCTCAGCCTCATCTTTCCAATTCCAACTCTTCTCCGCTTATCCATCACCTCTTATTTGTGCCCTGCCAGAACCAATAACTATTTATATGCGTCAGTAACATGATTCCAAATCACAAGCCATGCGCATAGCGGTGGGTGCGTGTGCAGAAGAATACTTACACTGCTGAATACTGTACTTCGAATCTCGCAGGCATGTCCTTGCAAGTGGCTGGTGGCGAACCGCCAGCCGTGTCAACACGGTAAACGTCCTTGATGTCTCCCGTGGTACCATCCATGGCTGTGAGCCGCAGCCAGGTTACGGCTTTCTCGCCCTTTTGACCAACGGCAGCGGTAGAAGGGGCGTTGGCCGAGCTGTTCTTCGCGCAAGGCACTTGACCAATGGTTAATGCTGGCGTGTCCAAGTTGAAGAATGGAGTTGAACCGTCGAAGTAATGCACCCCAGACTTTGCCATGGCTGTGGGACCAAGCCTTTCAGCCTCGTCAAGCTTGAATTGTACAGCCATGGACGGGATCCGTGAGAGGACGTCTGGGTATAGAGCCGCAATACAGCTGGCATTGAAGAGGGTAGCCACGGCTCCGGCAGCCTTGGGCACGGCATCAGCGGCGTTGGGATCACAGGTGTAATTTTGTGTCCCGCGTCCGACTGCTACATGGCGTACAGTCAAGCCCTTATCTGGAAGAGGGAGTCCGTCGATGCCTGTAGGAGGAGGTACATGTTAGTTATACCGTGCCATATATTTTTGGCTCTCGGCTGACGCGCAATTGCATGCTTACCAGTAGGCATGTGGGCTTTTGACAAGTCACACACCGGAGCCGTCGAGAGACCTTTGGCTACCTCAACCTTGGAGGCGATGAGATTAAAGTATCCTGACAAATTGTCCAGAGCACTGAGAGGATTGTCGTTTGTATCCAAAGTCGGAAAGGTTGGCGCAGCGCTGGCAACCGCGACAAATGCCGCCATAAAAATTGTAACTGAACGCATCTTTCTTTTTGTTTTTCTTTCTTTCTTGTGGATACAGATAGCACCCGCCGCAAAAGAAAAAAGCAGGCGAGATGGTGTCTTGGTCTGAGACGAACGGCGCAGAGATACGACGCTGCACCAGAAGAATAAGAATCGTAATGGTCAACAAGGGACAATTTCGTATCAATGCTAAGCAAGACAGGAATATAGATAGGCGCAGTAACAAGAAGAGAGAGAAAAAAGAAGAACGGAAAAAAGTCGATAGTGATGTAAGATGCAGATGACAAAGGGAATAAGGAAATAAGAAACTAGAAAATAAAAAGGAAAAGAAAACAACTCCAACTGGGATAGTTAAATACCGGCCGGTTGAGAATTGGTTCTGTGCTTCAGAAAAAGAGAAGATCAGACGGACGGCCAACACAGAGGCAAACGACTCTATTATAAGCCAGTATTTGTTGTTTCCAAGCACACGGCTACCGGCATGACATTGTCTTGAATGGGTCAAAAAACCCACACATCTGGTCTGCAGCCGCCCGTCTAGGCCCGGCGTCAAGCATGGCATCCGTAGCTGTAGGTCCATCATTGGTTGGGCAAGGTCTTGGACAAGCCAAAGCGAGGGCGGCTGGGAGACAGCAAGGCACCGACATGGGGTGATGCTTTTTATGGCACGGCGACAAACTGACCATGGCTCGGAGCGCTTGCCGTCCAATTGATTGGCGCACTGGAGCTTCTGAGATGGCGGGAGGGCGGGAACGGTGGGCGTTTGATTGGCCGCTGTCTAAGCGCCGTGCCAGGCGGGGACCTGCTATCCCCAGAGCTCCCCTTGCTTGGCTTGCTCTCCCCAGTGCCATGTTGGCCATTGTCCTCCTGCACACAGTCAGTCAATGATGGGCGAATTACCTCAAACCATGTATTCCGATGCATCTGAATGGTCAGCGGCCGGTGACCAACGCGGAAGATGGACATGGAATGTAGTTACTTTGATGCAAACGTCTTGAACAACGTGGTCCGAAACGCGGCCAAATGAGCTGCTCTATCCAATGGATCAAAATTGACTCCACGCCTCGCATCTCGGGCCAGCGTCACCGATCGACGCATTACGCGAGCACAGCGATTCCCTGTCTTTACGTCACACCTTGTTGCTTCGGCGCGTAGGATACCCGCAAGAAGAAATATCAGGTGAAGTCAGCCGAGTAATCAAGAGAAACATGGTTAACTGGGCATTCCAGTTGTGTGCCCATGATTGGGCACCCACCATTTCATCCTAGATCCCACGGCCAGGCCGCCATTTCGGGCCGGCGCCTCGCAGAAATACTAGAAAAAATGTAACCAGACAGGGATTGCTTGGCTCGACCTCCCCAGGAAAAACCTCGACGGTACAGAAGCCCCATCCCACAAAGAATAAAAACTGAGCAGCCAAGACTTCTCTTGTTGGTCCCTTCTCTATATCTACATGTCCTTGGAGACTACACAAGCAAGTGGAAGCCTTCCCATATTGATCATCATTTCTTCCCTGTCTCGCTTTGTCCAGATGGAATGCCTAGCTAATACCGTAATATTACATCCCACATTAATGATATGTGCATATGTATACTTTGGAGTTTGCCTGTACCTCGGTCCAGCCTGATACTGGCGCCTGATTATTTCCGTAACTTGGCCAGTTTCTAAACGTCATCACTGCCTGTTGAAACTATCTTGCTTCCAATCTCCTTGATTTGCACCACCACTTGCCGCCTTGCCTGCGCCAGCTGCAGCCGCTCCGGCAGCAGCGGCAGCAGAGGAGCCCAAACTAGACGCATGCTTATCCAAGTCTGCGCTGCCGAGCCAGTATAGTGAGAAAAAGACCAGTATATGCAGCGCTACACAGTATGCTGCAAAGAGGTTTCTGCTTGTACGGGACGCCAGAACCATGCGCGTGATCGAGTACACCATCCTCTCCGGGAGGCTCATACGCCGATAGGCTCTGGCCGACTCTCGACCACGAAAAGCCGCAAACGGTGATATGTTTGACTCATAGGCTTGGCGGTATCTGTCCATGGCCATCCCCGGATTGCCCGTTCCGCCGATGGAAACCGCCGAAGGATTCGGGTTGGAAGAGTAAGCTGATGACGAAGTTGCTGTCACGCCGCCACGGTTGTATGTTGACACGTATCTTGTTTTCTCGTACAAATTGAGGTTATCCTTTTGCAGCGCAGCAACTTCTTGCCGTAGTTGCTGGACAGTCCGATGAGTCTCGGACAGCTCCTGTTCTAATTGGGCGTTTTTCTTTTTGAACCGATCTCTTTGTGCTGTCACCATTGGCAGGATACCTGACCCGCCTCCCATCGGCTCCCGCTCTCCCGCTGTTGACCGTGGATCCAGTCCGCTAATGATGGATGAAGTAGGTGATATCCTACCTTTTCGTGTCTGCGCACGAGTGACATACGTGCCGGCGACAGAGGCACCAGACGGGAAGGCGTTGGCTCCTTCGGCCTGCATGTTCTCGAGGTCTTCCTCTAGCTTCTGATTCAAGTTTTGTGACTTCTCCAACTCCGCATTTGTTCTTGAGAGTTCCTCCTGCAGATCTTCCAGTCGAGATTGTAGGTCTTGGTGTGAGACACGGAGAACCGTTAGCTCGTCACCTAGTTTCTTGTTGCGGGACAGAAGGAGCTTTTCTAAAGAATCCCCCTTATCCGTGCTGCTTTCGAATTTTTCTCCAACTTCTTCATCATCACCGGTAGAAAACTCGATGCTTTTGAGAACCTCGAGTTCCTGCTTGATATCTTCATAATCGCTCCATTTTTGGACCTTGGCCTTTAGCGTCTCCTTTTCCTCTTTCAAATGAAGTGCCTCACGTTCCATCGTACGCTGCTGAGAATCGAAGCTTCGCTTCATCCTTTCCTTTTCTAACCTGGACGCATCTAGCTTTCGGATCAGGGATGAATTTTCGGACCTCATGCGCATGTACCCAGGATCATCTTCCAAAGACTTTTCGGGTTGGTTTGAGATGGAGGATTTGGCCTGGGCCAATTCTAGTCGCAGCTGCTCATTGCGAGCTTCGACCTCAGCTAGCCTGGTGCTGGTGCGCTCAATATCAGAATGGAGCATTTCCAGTTCAGCGCTTGAGGCTTTTGCGTGGTGGTTTTCTTGATCTTCTCCTGCTTTTCCAAGGCGCTGATTCACCTCGTAGCTGGCACGCATTTCGTTCAGAAGGCGCTCTTGATTCTCTACCTTCTCTTCCAAGCTCTTCTCTTTAGCTGCCCAGTTGTCTTTCTTTTCTTCCATGACGGCATTCCAAGACGACTCAACCTCTTTAACCCGCTTGTCCAGGTTGTCCTCGATTTCTTTTCGCGCGGTTCGCTCTGACTGAAGCTTGCTTTCGACATCTTCCAGTTGGGAAGTGAGCTTAGAAACATTTTCTTGGAGGTGCTTATTTTCTTCTGTGAGTCTGGGAAGCGTCTCCTCCGAGAGGAGCATGGAGTCTACCGAGGCTTCCAAGAGTGGGTATGGGTCTGGTGCTTCTGATATCGATGTGTAGGCCTGGAGGAAGGCTGAGTTGACTGATTTGGAATGATTCGTGAGAAGATCAATGAAATTTTGATAGGCTTGCACTATTGTCAGCTACAGGAATATAGAAAAGGCTGCAGCCGGAGGCAAGACGGGATCCCATCTGGACTACCTTTCAAGAGACCTTTGATTTCGGTCAATTTGCTTGCATCATCAAGCTTTCTGAAGTCTTTTGTTTTTTGTGCCAGCTCTTTACGCTGCACTGTCGAGTCTCGCTGATACGTCACGATTTCTGACGCAGTATTATCGAGGCTCGCGGTCAGGGTTGTCAAATCAACACCTATTCATTGCAGTAAGCAAGTGCAAAAAAATGCAGTTCCAATAACCTGGCTGAGGCGGCGTACTTCTCCAGGACGAAATAGCATGCTGGAATTTGTTTCCTGCTCCCTCAGCGGTCGGCGCATTGGGCCGTGCTGCGGAAGGGGCAGCTTCGGCAGCGGCAGGACCGGCTCCAACAACCTGCGGCATTGTGATGGCGGCCTTTAATTAACTATCGGGAGTCGGAAGCTGCGCATTCGATCGTTGTATAAATCTTGCCATCAATCGGCTGCAAGAAAGCGGTGGACGATCAAGATGGCGCGATAGTAGAATCGCGATGCTGGAGCTGGCGGATCCAATCGTTGGAAGTTGACGTGTTCGTCACAGAGAAGGGACCAGACTGGTCTGGTCTCAACAGAACCAGCCACAGACCGCTGAGCCAACTGAGCCACAGAGCCACAGCTTGGATGCTAGGCACCTACCCGTCTGTAGCTGGCCCAGCCCCACCGAAACCTTGGCCTCAGTCACGGAGTACCAGACCTCTGTCGACACAAAAGACGACTTATCCGACCTCCGAGCTGTGCCAACCTTCAAATGCCAACACCACTTGACGGAACTACCAAGCCATTTGTCTCCCTTGAAAAGACAAATCATCGTACGCGATGCGCCACAGCCTGCAACTACAAATATGAGCGTGGCATTACAATAGCCTCAAATGAATAATTCCTTGCCATGGCATCACAAACTAGCCTGGCTGCCAGCTCAGGCCAGCAGGCAGCAGTCGAAGATGGGCCCTATATCTTGCGACCGTTATTGGAAGAGATCCCGTTGGCATCAGACGGGTCCGACAGCAACGTGAAGATTAATTGCGTCGAGTTTTATGGTGGGTTTATCTCAGATCAGCCTATAAGAACACGGAAGCTAAGATATATACCATGCAGATGGAAACCTCTACATTGGCACGTCGGCATCCGAGGTGCTTCATTTCGTACAGATTCCCCCCGATTCAAATGATATAACGGCACGACCTGTTTATATTCAAGCTTCCAGACTATCACCAGTTTCTGTCGAGTCTCCCTCTTCCCGATCGGCTGGTCAAGGTGTGCAGGAAATTCTATTGCTGCCACGGATAGGGAAAGCGTGTATATTGTGCAACTCAACCGCGGCGTTTTATTCTCTACCGGAACTGAGCCCGGTGTCTGGAATAAGCGTCGTCAAGAACTGTACCTGGATTGGTGGGGTGGACTTGAATGATGCGATTGCTACAGATGGCTCCGTGGCTACGAGCGGTAATGATGCCACCATACTCCTTTCTTTGAAATCCAAGATACAAGTAGTCCGCCTTGCGGATAAAGTGCTTGAGGCACCGGTGAGTTTCTTATATTTTTGGGTCATTGTGAACACTGGCATGCTTGCTAACTTATGATATCAGAAAGTAACATTTGCTGGAAGCATTTTGTCCGTTCGCCGGGACTCAATAGCTTGCGTCGCCGACTCCAGGTCATACGCGCTATTAGACATTTATAGGCAACTCACAATTCCATTGATGAGTATCTCAACCCTGGATGAAACACCCTTGGAAGATGTTGGACGAGCTCAATCAATTCGTGATACTGTTCCAGATCCTCCTGTCCGGACAGGTCCGACAAATTTATCTACTCGGAGTGCAAATACGCCAGGCCACAGTCGGAATCCGAGCCAGAATGACAATTCCTCCAACCCTCAACAGCCGTCCTCTCCGGTGTCTTCAACAAGCCCAGAACCACGCTCTAATTCCAAATCACCGACGCCTCCTACAGACAAACCTTTGCCCTTACCCCCTAGCGAGGATACATCGACTGATAAAAATGTGCAGCCTACAAAACACCAAACGTCAAACCTGCTCAAGCCGCATATTTCATCACCAAATTCTGAGGAGTTTTTATTGGTTATTGGGACGAAACTATCAGAACCAGGTGTTGGCATGTTTGTTAGTCTGGATGGCGAGCCTACGCGGGCGACGCTTCAGTTTGAGAAATATCCAGAGCAAATTGTCGTTGATGGCAACAATTTTGACATGACTTCGTCTCAAACAGGTTTTGGCGAGGAAGAAGATTGTCACGTGCTGGCTTCCATATCTAAGGAATCTGAAAATGGGCTTTCCCACGGCATAGAAATTCAACACATAAACGCAGGCCAGGAAGCAAATCCAAAAAAGCACTGGCTGGAAGCAAGACGCTTTTCTATGAAGCACCCCTACGGCCTGAGGACCTTACTCGGAAAAGGGCAAGTCCGGCTCGACGAGATTGTCTCCAAGCTCAGCCAAAAGCGGTTTTCTCCATTTCCCGGCCCATTGGAGGCATCTACCTCACTCAAGAGCTCAGACTCTAGGACCGCACTGTCGATAGAACGATTGTCCAAAGAAAAAGAACTTTTCGAACGTGATGACTCGCAGGACGATAATTCACTGCCGGAAGGTTGGGAGATAACCCGTAATACTGAAGGGGAACAGTTTGTGCGACGACTTGCTGACGTTGAAACAAGACTGGCTGTCTGGAACGGCAATTGTATATGGTGGGCAATGCGAAATCCTTTAATTATCCAACTTGACGCGTTGTTGGACGAAGCATGCCCCAATGGGCAAATATCAGACATGAACAAAGGCGCAGTGTATGCTGTCCTGAAACTTATTCGCGGCCGAGATGCGAGGACAGAATTAGAATACATGACGTTGGATTACCTGCGGCAAAAAGCTGGCCTCCTCCTCCTCATTAACATTCTATCTGTCCAAAAAGAGCGAGTCTCTGGAGGCGATCTCAATGCCCTGGAGAAAATTTTGGTGGACAGTAAACTGGACCCTCGAGTAGTCCTGTCTCTCATACCCGGAATCAGAAATGACATCATTGAAGGGAAACAAGGCATTTGGATCTATGCAGGGGTAAAGAAGATTGCTGAGTCTTATCTTCGAAGCGTCACCTTTGAAAGACCAGCAAAGAGCGCTCTGCAAGATATCGAGCTACAGATTATGCACTTTTTCCGCCGATTCCTATCGGCTTGGAGGAAAATGAAGGGATTTGGTAGTGTTCCTGACGAAGTTGAAGTATTCAGGACTGTGGATGCCGCACTTCTCATCTCCTTGCTTGAGCTGGACCAGCGCTCTCCTCGAGGTACAGTTCACGGCGGCGCCGTTAGGTCGGAGCTCAATGACGTTGTTGACAAAGGAGTGGATTGTTTCGACCGTGCTGTCGACATATTAGAGTCGTACCACAGGCTTTTTCTGCTGAGCAGACTCTACCAAAGCCGTAAAATGGCCGGTGAAGTTTTGGCAACCTGGAAACGCATTATTGAAGGGGAAGAGGATAGCGCGTCCGAATTTCACGACGGCGAGAAACGTGTCCGAGACTACCTGAAGAAAATTAGCAGTCAAGCTCTGGTTCAAGAATACGGAATATGGCTGGCCAAAAGAAACCCACGATTGGGAGTGCAGGTGTTTGCCGAGGATGAGGGGAAGGCTCCCAGGTTTGAACCAGCGCGAGCCGTTGAGATTCTCCGGGCAGAGGCCCCCGATGCGGTCAAATATTACCTAGAACATCTTGTATTTGCCAAGGGCCTCACGTCATATGTGAACGAGCTCTTGAACTACTATCTTGACGTGGTTCTTGGGGATCTCAGATCTTCGGCAGCCAGTCGAGGGACAATTATGGCTACATACGAGGCCTACAGGGCGTTACAAGGACCCAAACCGACTTACCACCATTTTCTAACAGAAAACACGCCCCCGGATGGCGAAATATGGAAGAGTCGCTTACGACTGCTCCAGCTCCTTGGCGGCGCCCATGACTACGACACCACGGCCATCGCGGAACGTATTGGCAGTTTACCGGGCGACTTGCTCGTGCCTGAGACCATCATTCTAGCTGGTCGTCAGTGTCACCACGAAGAGGCACTACGGCTGCTGGTCCACAGGCTTGGTGACTACGATACAGCAGTGTCGTACTGTCTTCGAGGCGGGTCCAGTGTCTACGGGCACCTGGATGGTCGACAGGGTGGAGGTAGCATGCCAGAAACAGAGCAGCAGCGCCGTCTATTCCAAGTAGTCCTGAACGAATTCCTGAGCATTGCGGATGTTAGTGATCGAATCGAGCAGACGGGCGCACTACTGGAACGTTTCGGTGGCTGGTTCGAGGTGGAAGAAGTGCTAGGCTTGGTGCCTGATACTTGGTCCGTAGACGTCGTGGCCGGGTTTCTCATAGGAGCAATGAAAAGACTTGTACGGGAGAAGAACGAGAGCGTGGTGAGAAGGGCACTCAGTGGCGCAGAGAACTTGAGGGTCAACTACGACCTGGTTGTGGGAGTCGAGCAGAAGGGCCCGAGTATCGAGGCACAGAACTAGCGCTCTGGTGTCTATCTGAATACCAACGCGAGGAGTGTAAATTTAGCGGGCATGTGTAATATAATGAGAACAACGTGGACACTTGGGCGAGGTGCGACTGATGTTTGAAAAGTCTTGGTAGTTTCGACGAGATGCTTCCGTCCAAAGTGGTGGCACAGCCATCACACCCGGCAATGGGGATTCAGCTTCGGTCAGCTCGGTCAATTAACTCAAGAGGCAGGGACTAATGTACGGTACAAACACCAATGGGCTGTGTCCTACATGGCTAAACCACGTATGTTAGCCAAGGTCTCTCGGGTTCAGCAACGAAGGCGAAGCCGCTCTTCCCCCCCCCTGGCCACGATGCGTGGGCCATCCTGTCTCTTGTCGGCACACAAAATCTCGCCTCGCAGCTGATCGCAACCTCACTTGACCTATGACGTCCATGGAGCACACGCCGATGTCCTTGCGAGCCAATAGCCTCGAAGCCAGCGCCGAGGATATGAGCGTTTTTGCCAAGGGACCGACGTCCCAGCTGAGAAGACGGGCTCGTCCACGACATGGCGGTGGCTTGAGCTGAACAAACTATTGAATGCTTGACGTATAAGCAGAAGCCGGGATCTTGTTGTCTATCGGCAGGCAAGAACCGCAGCCCGCACAAAGTTGGCAAGTTTGGCAATCGAGCTTGGCTTGTGGCTTTTTTTGCTCCTCTTGGTTTTTTCGCGGAGTTGCTGTCGGAGACGGCGCCGAGACGACCAAGATATAAAGGGAGCGGTGGTGCTGGCCGGAGCCGCATTGCGGGAGTATGGAATATGTGCTTTTTCTTCATCACTTGTTTGATTTTCTTCTATTCCATTCTACATGGTTTGCTTTGGCTCTTTTTGCGGGACAGCACTCCCGTCCTGCTGTGTATTCCCCGCGGCTCAGATACAACAAGCCTTTGCTTCCGCGTCGTGATATCCTCCTCCCCGTCTTATGAACATACCCCCTCTCTCATCCTGTCTACCTCGAGGCCGAACTTGTGCAAGCGCTTGACGGTTAAGGAAGCCCTTCATCTTCTCACGGCCCGTGTAGAAGTCGACCACTACCTAGCACCTCTTGTCGGGCCCTGTTTGATGGTCACTTCACCTGGGAAAATGACCCCCAGAGCGAAGGCCAAGTATTCCTCGGGCTGGGCCGAGCCGTGTCCCTTGAGAATGGATGCACGGGCTGTTTGAAGCCATATAACTGGCTATTCGACTCGATGCTACTTGCAGCGTCCACGGCCGCATTTGGACCGAGCAGAATCGTGGTGCCTGTCTTGGTATCATGAGGCATCAACAATTAATTCACTTGGCTGGCAAACTGATTTTTTTCATCCGACGTATCGACGCCTCGCTCAGACGCGCTGCAGAATGCGGGCTGCCCCAACGCAAAAAGTCGATTGCTTTGACAACGAAGTGTTCTCAGGCACCACCACCACGAAAAAGGACCATGGTTCCTCCCTCGTGGATAAACGACAAACCGCATCACAATGGTTCAAAAAATGGCACATGACTTGGGGGGAGAGTTCCTGTCCCATTAAGAAATATCCTAAGAGGCGTTGTTAAATCGCCGGAAACACCACCACAGTGGAGAAAACATAGGGTATCGAGATTCGAAAAGATAAAAAAAAGAGGTCCTTGGACCGCTCTCAAAGCAGGAACGATTCGAGGAGCTGGGTTTCCCATCCATGTCATCCATCGTAATTAAGAACAACCAAATGTCCATACTCATGCCAAAACCGAGAGGCTGCGGAAAGAGACAAAAAACAAACCTGCACAATATCAATAAGTGCGTGAAAACTCCGAAAATTGAACCCCCGTGGGAAAATACCAATCCGACCCAGCCATGTCCCATTATATCCAAGTCAATTTCACATGCGCCGTCTTCCTATGCTCCCCTTCTAATATGGTTATGGATCTCTAGCAAATCGAGTTCGTAAGGTTTCAAAACTCCCTTCCGTGTGCTAGGGAGACGAGAAGATGATGGCTCTAGTCGAGCAAAGGACATTTAAGTGGGGGCACTACTCGTCTTCAACATTTCCTGCATTTCCTTCAGCTGTTCCTCCGTGGGGTCATCAGAAATCCAAGGTCCCTTCTCATCGTCTGTGGCGCCAAGGAAGCCCTCAGCCCGCTTGAGCGTTTGGACATCAAGGTCCGTAACGTATGATTTGCCATCCGATAGTTTGATGCGAACCTCATGGTCGGTCGAAAGCATCATGTCGTCCTTGGCCAATCTGCGGGACCCATCGAAGACAGCCATAATACGCTTTCGCATCGTCATTTGGCCCTTGTCAAAGCCCCAGGATGATGGGTAGTCGCGGCGGTTCTTGCGGCCACGAGTCTTGGTAGCCGTTGGAACACCTCCTCGAGAGTGTGTCAAACCGCGGGACTTTTGCACACCGTTGACAGGGTTGCCTTTTTTCTTGATTGAGGGCGATGAGTTGGCTTTGGAAGAAACATCATCGGCATCCTCGTCCTCGCCCATGTCCAAATCATCCTCATCGTCCTCATGCAGGGAGGTCTGCATAGTCGGTGTTGTAGTTGGGAGGTTGTTCTTTTCCAGGGTATGATGGACCATCTTGTCGTTCTCGACCTCAGCCAGCCGCTGTGCATTGATGGCCTCTGCGGGATCCTCCTGTTGCACAATTCGAAGGACACAGTCGTCCAGATGCTCGTAGAAGTCCTGGGCATTGGAAAATGTCTGCGAACACGTACTACACTTTCCAGTGGCATCGGGAGCGTAGCCAGTGAGCTTCTTTCCAGTGGCGACGCCGGCTGGCGTCTTCTTGCGGCTGTTCGGGGGAGTTTGTTCAACACCATGAACTGCGGTCAGGTGTCTCTTGAAGACATCTGCTCGGTTGAACGACTTTTCAGCAGGAGACCCAGAGCCAGGGCAGAAGCCGCAAACCATGGTGCCCTTGTAGTGGGTCAGTGTGTGGCGGTTCTTGTCGTATTTGCGGGCAAAACCCTTGATGTGGTATTCGCAGGTCTGGATGGGACACTTCTCGGGTCGCTCATTCTGGTGAGTGAGCATGTGCGCCTTTAGGTCCTTGAATATCTTGCCACAATCGGGATAGGTGCATCTTTGCTTCTCCTTGGTTTCATCGCTGCTAAAGTCGGCAGAGCCAACCGGGGAAATGAAGTTGGCCATGCTCACACGGCGGCCATTGGCATCGATGGGTGCACCGTATGGGCTGTGAGTGTAGTTGGGACCAAAGGGGCCGTTGTGGAGGAATGGTGAGGTGCTGTCGGTTCGAACCATGTTGGGCTGTGGTGATGAAGATAGTGAGGGCGAGGGCACAAATTGGTGTGCCTGAGCGTGTTGAAAGTGGCCATCGTAAGGCGAGATTGGCATCGGGGGGCGGGCAATTTCTGGGTGTATGAGGGAAGGATCTGCGACAACGGGAACAGCGTCAGTGAGTGTGGCCGCGGATGACATGGTCAATTGCTGCTAGCTCGGGATGGCGTTGCAGAATTGAAACAGAACAATGCAATCGAAGATGAAATGGAAAAGTAAAAAGTGTCTCGAGGGTTCCGGATGGCAACAACATAGGTTGGGTTGAGTGAACCGAGGCGGGGTGAGGTGAGCTGCGGTTTTGGCCGAGGACAAGAGGCCGCCCAAGACGGGTAGAACCACCAACCGTTGACGTGCGGTGGTCTCGAATAGGTGCGAGAAACGAGAAACACCTGGGGGGGGCCGCCAGCAAACATTCAAGGGACACCCACTGTGCTTACTGGCCGCCACATGCCCGCTGGATGAGACACAGCAGCCGGTCACAGCGACTCGTCACAATCGGCCAGCAGCACTTGGGATGACTGGAGCGCTCGACTCGCGCGCCTCGACCGAGCTGCTCGACCGGCACCGAGGGCACACCACTATGCAGTAATAGATGCAGCGGCATGCACTCCGTACTCCGTACAGCGAGCAGTGAAGACAAAGCAAAGCACAGCAGGTAATTGGTACGTCGGAGCGCCGTTTGGCCGTTGAATTGTAAAAGTCGGCACCCGCACTAACGGAGCCACGACCCAATTGTCTCAGGCATGGCGCGCAATGGCAAGCTGAACTGCGGGGCCCCCCTGGCAAACCCAAATATCGAGTATCCAAATCAATCACATAATAGTGCATGATGATTCGGCCCACAGGTCCAGTATGTATGAAAGATACGGAACAATCATGATGCATCTCTTTCCTTTGGAAGGTGAGCACTGGGAGGGAGGTGTGCGGGTATCCCGTAGGGAAGATGCATTGCTTTCTATCCAGTAAGCCAGCCAGCCTTGCCTCGGAAGCGACCAAGCCCCAAGTCTAGTTGGCGAACAGGGTGACAGAGATAGATGGGCGATGCACAGAGGACGACACAAAACGTATCTGGAACGGGCAATATTCGGCAGCAACTGGACCTTGCCGAAAGGCGGAAAATGCGGCCATGAAGAGTGAAAGAGAAAGGGCGAAAGAGAAAGGGCGGAACGCAGGCGCCAGGGAGGGCAAGAAAATGTTGTACTTACCAACAAAAGATTTTGGCTGTCCGCCAAAGTCGAAACTGCTGAAATCCTCCACTCCAGATCCATGAAAGTACTCGGGAGCGGCCATATAGTCATTCCCGACAACGCTGGGTTGCATATTCATTGTGTGACTGGTCCAGTCAGTCACACCCAAGTGTCCATTGCTCGACTGCGGTGAACCGACTGCTGAAGATGGCGCTGAGGGTAGGGAACCAGATGAAAGACCGGAGGACGACAGTCTCATGTCACCGTCCTCTGGGTACACACCAGGAGACGCGTGGCCGTTGAGAATGTAGTTCGGGGTCTCGGCGTAAAGCAAGGGCTCAAAAGCCATCGACGTTGTGCTAGGAGGGTACGTGACACCAATGGTCATTGGAGAAGCAGATCCAAAGGCGTTCTGCGGGGGTTCAGGATAATTGGTGTAATCGTCCGTACGTTGCTGTTGCGCGAATAGGTTGTTGTAGGGCTGCTCAGCCAAAGCGGCCATTGTGTTAATGACGATTGTAGATTGCGAATGGCGAGTCTAGCGTTGAAGAGTCAGCAATACGCACATCTGGTTCACGATGTTCATCTCTCTTTGAGACGTCTCCGCACAGGACTGGGCTTGTTTTAATATTGCCCTTACCTCGAAAGAACCACACAATCTCGTTCCACCCCAAAGCCTCTGCCGTTACAAATCAGGTAGGCTTTGTCTCGCGGGGTTGCCGAGGCCGGCGGGGTCACAAGAGACACTTCGAAGTATTAAATGTAGAGGCAAAAATTCGACAGGTCGCTATAGTTACAATGGGCTCGTTCTGCTTCGCCTCGTCGTGGCCTTGACTGTATGCTGTGAAGAGATAGCAATTCTGGGAACAAGTGGTAGAGAAGGCGTGATGACGCCAGGGCGAACAAGAGTAGTTGCGTTGTCAGGCGTTTCGGTGTGACGATGCGGTATCGACAATAATGCCCAGATGAGAGAGGGTTGGATGTATTTATATGACAAACAGATTCAACGGGATGATTGACTGGTGTTGAGGAACAACCAGAAGTTGATCTGGTAGAGAAGGCTGACAACAAACGTTTGATGTTGTTGGGGACTTGGACGTAGATATATAGACAGTGTGCATCTAGACTGCCCGAACCAGGGCCTGGTGGACGGGATCTACTTTTTGACAAAGTTGAGATTCAGGGCCAGTAGGGCAGAGGTGTTGAACTCCGCCAGCCTCATCCGGGAGACAGGGGGTGTGGCCAAGAAGGCTCCATCACCGCAGAAATTGAAGAGACAAAATTCATTGCACAGGGTCATTCATCATGATGCCGCCCGCGCAGCATGGCTCTCGGGCTGGTGGGCTTTTCGGTATTCATCAAGAGCCTCGTCTTGAGACTGGAGACGACCAGGGTCAGGCAGAGAGGCGTGTGTGCAAGACAGGAAAAGGAAAGAAGAAAAAAGGCGTTTGCGTGCCTGGGGCGTGGTTCGCAGGGCGGGCGTGTGTGGTCGAGAGTTCATGAGGGTTTGTGGGATGGATCGATGGAGCCACTGGCGTATTTGGGCGGTCCCCGACGATCATCTGGCGGAAATGGTCAGTCCCATCGACATGTATCCGAAAGTATCGGTACCTCGTTCACCAGGCCGCCTTGGAGGGGACGGGAGTCGGCAGGCAAGAACGAAGGCAGTGACCTGATAACCGTCAAAGTTAGCGATGTGGTCTGGTACCATTGCAACGGGTCATGTATCTGGTACATAGACCAGAGTATCGACCCGAGAAACGAGCAACCCAGCAACCTCAGAACGGCCCATGACTGGCCACCCAAGCGATGCGCGGCGACCCCATCGCAGAGGTGATGGGGGTTGCTGGGGTCTCGGCATGACACTCTCCCCACTCTCCCACGGTTACACACAACCACACCGTGAAGCAACACTCCAGAGACAAGTCGTCGTTACCCACCCGCCAGCAAACCAACATGATGCCAGGGGTATCGGACATGCTAAACCTAGATGGGACTCGCTGGTCTTGCGACAGCTCAAGAGGATACACTTTGTCAAATTGGCATCAGACCCCCCCCCGGAGCCCCCCACAAGCCGTCTTTCTATAGGCAGGCTGTCTCAGACACACAGCAAGCTTACTAGTACCTGCCCTTCGAGTCCGTGTTTTTGGTACGGATTACCCATTGGGAAACCGATTGAATGTAACTACTCCGTACCAAGGAAACGGTATCTGCCTCGCATCCAGTGTCTCTGGTCCCTGTTTCCACTGGAACCCACAGCCGTAGACAATTGAGAATGTGGCGTCTCGTGGCTCATGGCTCCAGGCTTCTCGCCTCCTTTCACCGACTTAGATTTAGGCCATTGATGCCATTTCAAACCCCAAGTCAACGAGGCATGCAGCCTAGGGTTGCAGGTTCACGGTGATTTGCAAAGGATCACCAACTATCGGGCCCTTTGTCTGGAACTTGGGAAAGTCACATCATGCTGATCAAACAAGAGGTGAGTAATCTTACTTCTCGTCGAAGGGCTGGCGACAATCCGCAGCGCTGGTTTGGAGCGTCAACCCGGCACATCGGATATAACCATTAGTCTGGATTGTACTCCGTATATATCTGGCAGCTCGAGCCCGAAATCATGGTAGTACTACGTACATCTGTACGCTGAACCTTGTAAATGCTCTACTCCGTATAAAGCCCAATTGACTGTAAGAAAGAACGGTTAATTCACCCAAGACAGAAGGGTTCCACTCAAATTTGCACAGGACTGGTTTGTGTCAGTCACTCTGGCCCTGGCCGGTCGAGATGACAAGCACCGACAGTTGCGGGCACCAGGACGTCGTCAATCACTGAATGGTTCTCTCATCTCAAAAGAATTTCTTTCAATAGTAGAAGTCCCGACCCAAAGCAGGGTCCGCGTCGACCTAGCACCAGATGCATTGCACGGCAGGTGCTTGTCAAGCCAACAGAAACAGATTGCAGCCCCCATCATGGTCTCACAAACCGTGCTCAACCAGTACTTCGGGTTCTAACCCTACTACCTGTGTCTGATAAGCTCCGCGGGGCTGCGGGCCCTTGGCCGAAATCTTGAACTATGCTACTCTTGGCTTGAACCACGAGTGAACGGTGCATTGCATTCTGAACTGGAGGCCATCTAAACCGGGAGGAAGTGTATCAAGCAAGGGTACTGTACTGACCGGCCCGAGGTATCGTTCGGAGAACGGAGTACTTGATACTCCACGGATGGTTCAGTACTGTGGTTGGCGTTGGCAGGCGCATTTCGCTCATTCGGTCGCGAGAACCTCGAGTCTCCCGACATGGGCCCCGCAAGCCCCTTCAATGTATAACAGAAGTGAACCACTCCTATTAGAAACTGGATTGTGCAAGGCTGGTCGAAGGCGTCCTGGACAATGTTGCGCGGCTAGCCTTGCCAGAGGCGTGAAAAATGTAATTACCTTGTTATGATGCTTATCCCATAATGCTGGTGGTTCCAGCTGCCCAGGTTGCGTGTTTGCCGTGTCGTCTTGTATGAGGTCAGAGCGCATCTCTTGGTCCTCAATTTCGTTTTTCCATGGTCAGGAACCGTGTCTTAGCTGCTGACGAATACTGCCATTTTCAGAGCCGTGAAACGCTCACGCAAGTAATGAATTGCAACTGCTACAAGAGAAGGGTGTGAGAAGCGCGGTACGGCGAATCTCAGCGTTGCGTCGGCCACCAAAGACGATTGGCGCATGAATCTGCGGGAGCCGAGACATTGGAATTCGATTCTAATCTGTCTGCCTGCGCGTGGACTGGATCCATGCTGGCCACGGAGGGTGGACAAAGACGGCAAGGAAAAAGAAACAACTGCATTGGAGGATAACCCAACAGCTTGGCATGGCGGCTTCGAGCCTGAATTTTGGAACCGACGGGCGCACGCACAGCCCGCCAGGCAGTTCTCACTCTCCATAGTTGGCTCGCAGAGCACGTTGCTGATGGTGGCAGCAGTGGTGCACGCTGTGCTGGCTGTCTGGTAGTATGGGGAGTGGAGAGGGCGGCGATTTTGGCCAGAAGAGACTAGTCGACATCTGCACACCCAAACGACGACAGACGAGGCAATCGGAACTATGCCAGGTTGGGGAATTCGTGTCCCGCAAGGCGATTTCGTCTGATGAGTTGGCGAGGGCGCATTCCCACGCCAGCAGCCTCGCGGGTCAAACAATGCTTAACGGGTTTGGGCAGGGTTGATTGACGATTGCCAGTAGCAGAGCATGGAGTTGCACGGAGTTGAACAGTATGGGGCAGTTAGTATATTGCATGACTGGGCAGGCACGCGGGCAGGAGTTTAGTCCTTGGTGGCCTCATACTCCCACTTTCCTAACGTCGTCAAAAGGCAATATCAAGTATTTGCTGACTGCAGTCGCTCCGTTGTTCATTTGTAATTGATAGTATAATGATACATACAGGATTATCCGAGGACATGTTTTCTGTGTTGTAGTCCACCTCAAAAGCCCACCAAACCTTTGCTTTTGCCAAGCCATCACATGTTGTCTCGCAACAAGTCCAAGTTCTGTGATTTAAATACTAGATAACTTGTCCTATGTCTGTGTAAGCACGATGGATATGCAGACGACGAATGCACCAATAAAGAGCCCTTATGCAATAGCTCCAGACGAAGACATGAAAATACCACCCTGTGACAATGTTATTCCTTGTGGGCGTTGCACCATGGGGCAGCAGACTAAGGCCTGTGCCTTGCGGTTCATGCTGTGTCAGTTGTTGATGAAAGGTACAGAGTACTCCATACTCCATACTACTTAAGTAGTCAGTCATTACCTAGAATACAAGTGGCGGGAAAACATGTGCCCTGGACATTTTGCCAATAGTACTATTCACCATGTGAGTTAAACTCTTGAGAGATTTGCCTGGGCCCAACTCTACACGAGAGTATATTACTACTATTCTTCATCTTCAAACCTTTCGACTATCTCCTGACTTGGTCATGGGTGCAGTCGTAGGGCAGGCCAACCAGAGGCCCGGATCGGGGCCTGGCTTGACAGCGGTGAGCCACAGCGCGCGGAACTTGCCTCGTGGCGGCGAATCTGTTTCCGAAGTCGAGATTTGCTGTTCACATCATGGACATCTGGATTCGACGAGAAATGATGGGGCCTCTCCCAAATCAGCCTAGCGATATGCACACTCGCTTGTGGCTACCAACGTTAGTTAGCTTGAACGGTGGAGGTGGCTCTGCAGCGGGGTTGATTGGGCGCAGAATGGCAAGCAACATTGAAATGGTTGACACGCCGACCCTGCAGAGGCGGGCTCTAATTTACCTTTTCGCCGACTGGGATTATCCTGGTTAGCCTTGCAAGTTTACCTCATTGCCTCACTCTCTTCAACTCTCCTCAACCCTCAGGAATATCCTGCCCGGGAGATGGGAGCATATCCCTGCGGCGCCCCCCTCCGGACCCCCCCTTTTGTCCACACCCCTGGACGATGAGGCTCTGCGGGCAAATGACCACATCCACTTTGAAGACCCGGCTGCTG